CGCCACTGGGGTTTTCAAATAATCAAGGATTATTATTTTATTGTTCCTCCATGATTGCCAAACATTAATAAGAAAAAAGTGAATTTTTATCAATTTTTTTTACTATTCACATCTTGGTTCGTTGAATAAAAATATACCTATAGTCTATACATGTAAATACTATGCATGTTTTAATTGAGCATTTAAAAAATTATACAAAATAATCTGGTAATGATACAAATATTTTGACTGGACATAAGATAAAGTACTCGAAAAGACCAGTGTTTTTATGTATTGATCATCTATAAAGCACAAATAGAAAATTTTGTATGATAATTCAAAGTTCAAAAGTGTTTCTATATTCACCCGGTTTTACGGTACCTATTGTATTATGATAGTCGCGTACACTGGCATAGGTACACCTACTGCAAACATATTATAATGGGGAAACTGGGATCTATTATATTATTTTATATGTAGTGTCTCGATTTTTAAACACGAAATATATTAATTTGTATATAATATAGGTTTAATAAACAGCACACTATTTAATACCTATAACTATTAACATAACATATTATTATATAGACCACTTGTTACATTAATCGGTTATTTTTATTTGAATTAAAAGTCAATATGGCTATACACTGAAAATATACGTCTACTATAATTGCATAGGTACACTTATAACAATATTATTAAGAAACCGTGTCGATATTACAGTTGGAAGAGGAACCTGAACCCGAGAACCGTGACATGGTAGTTACTGAGTTTGACAATTTGCTCTCTACTGACAATCGAACCTATGTGGCTATCCGTACTTTACCGAACAGTGGTGGTGTGTTTGGTTACATAGCCATTACAATGGGCGATGGAATTGAACCACAATGGCTGGACTGCAATGGCAAGCCGATATGTGCACCGGTGCCGTTTAATTTGAACGTAGAATACATGAAGGCAGATATCGATTTAGAATGTTTGGAGTATGATGAGACGGACGCCAAACAGGTGTGGATGGTTTTGAACAACAGGAAATCAATATGTCTGAGAAACGAATTTTATGATTTCTACAAAACTCTGTACGAAAGCGTCCGACAAGAAATGGTGGCTGAAGCAGATTCGTGTGTGATCCGAAAATGTAAACATCCGTTCATAAATAAGTTACTTGAATACCTCGTGGTAAGTAACGATAACGATATTTTAAAATATGACCAAGTAAAACCAACAACCATTTAATGTTTATAAAATATGTACCCGATTAAATAGGTCGACTTGAAAGCTATTGGTATGACTGATCTAGAAATATTTAATAGAATCAGGTTGCTTTCCATATTGAAAAAGCAAATCAAATCCGTAATATGTGAAGTAAGAATTAACATTCATGTCTTTAGTACCTATATAAACTATAATATATTATTTACTTAGAGATTAAAATCAATGTTTCATTAAATATTATAATATTACCTTTGGTGCCTATCATAATAAGGTCATATTATAAGTTAATTAAATATAATGCATTATATTTCCACTGGTCATTGACATAGTTTTCCTATTATTATATTGGTTGTTTTTGGTAGGTAGTTAAAAATTAATTTTTCTTCGTATATTGATAAAACCAACTGAGCTAGACCCTCTCAGTTTACAGCAAGATTTACCTACGTTTATAACAATTATAGTCCGATTTAAAATCAAATAAGGATAAGTACACATTTCCAATATTGTATTTTAGATAGAGAAACGGACTGACAATCTGGAAACCGCGTGGAAGTTCTCGACGATTTCGCCTATGGATCCATTACCATCCAAATGTTGTTATGACTTTATATCATCCGCTCTTTGGAATGAATTACACCAACAACGACCCGACAAAAAGTATATTAATATACTGTCGTATCAATATCCGCAATATTTTTTACCAAAGTAAGTACCTATATATTGTTAAAATGTACAGTGGAAATGTTGTATGCATGATTATCTATTTTATGATCACTATACATTAATAATTAATGTACAACAATGTTTTTTGTTTTATGTAAAATGTTATTTAAAAAAATGTAGATAATCTTTAGATCTATACATTTTTAATGATAATTGATAACACATGATAAAATCATGAGCACACGATTATAATTTTGTACCAAAACATACATACATTGTATCAAATCTAATTTGCTTTTTGGCAGTTGTACCGATCAAACTATACCTAAGTAATAAAGCAATAACATATCTGAACTTCTCATGAAGTTTGAAACTCCAAACTCTGATGTGTCCAAACTCACTTGAATTATTAAAAAGCTTTAATAACTGTTTTATATTTTTTAGATATTTATGTGTGTTAATGAACCAAAAGAAAAAGGCATTAAACATTATCTCTCGTAGATATTGCAAGTTATTAGATGAAATGTTCGATGACTTGGGAGCTTCTATTATGGAAAATATGATGAAGTACAAAGAAGCACATTGGGAATGGCATGTGGCCCAAGAAGTTATCGATGCTTACAACAAAGAAAAGGCTTTTAAAGACAGTTTGTGTGCGGCTGAAAATTCTAATGATGATTCGACAGAATCATTCATAACAGTTATTTTAAACGAGATAAACATGTCTCATCTTAAATTAAAAGTAATTTATTTAAAAACCTACTGTAGGTTCTTGTCTTGGGGTAATTTCTATAATAATTTATTTTATTTTTATTAGTCAACAATGAAAAAGAATAATCAAATGGCAGAACAATTAACCGAACTGAGAAATGAAATATTGGAAAAGGAACGAATGTACAGACGAGTGTTAATCCAAATCGAAGAACAAATAGATAGATTGAGAAAACAAATTAACATCGAAAAACGCGATATAATAACAAGAGAAATTACTATTAAAGAGCTTCAAAGAAAACGTAAGGAACTATTAAAATAAACTCATAGTTCGATTCTTCATTGCGTTTTCTACAAAGCTCAATAAAAAGTAATTAAACAATAGTTTTTTCTTTAGTAATTAGTACTAATTACCTATATCTCGTTTTTTGGTTTTGATTTGTTTTTTTTTCAATTTATGTAAAAGAATATTGTTTTCTAGAATCACATATTTTATCAGTTCGCCCAAAAATTGAATGTAAAAAAAATAAATGTTTTAAACCTAAATCAATTAATTAATATAATTCGATAAACTATAAGATACAATATGAATTAAACATGTTACAACCTTTTCCAAAACATTTTGAGTAGTACGACTGTGAGCACTCTGCATACACAGACACACAATGAATTATAATATGTTTATTAAAGATATCTAGAAATATATATATATATTTCTAGATATAGGTATAGATACCTATCTATATATCTATAGGTTACCTACCAATTTCTGATAGTATATTATATATTAATCTAAAATCTGTTTTGTGTATTCTTATGACATTTTTATATTGCCATAAAGAAAAATGCCATAAGAATACACAAAACAGATTTTAGATTAATATATAATATACTATCAGAAATTGGTAGGTAACCTCTATATATATAGATACCTATGTTTAATAAACATATTATAATTCATTGTGTGCCTGTGTATGCAGAGTGCTCACAGTCGTACTACACAAAATGTTTTGGAAAAGGTTGTAACTTGTTTAATTCATTGTATCTTATAGTTTATCAAATTATATTAACTAATTGATTTAGGTTTAAAACATTTATTTTTTTTACATTCATTAGGTATACAATTTTTGGGCGAACTGATAAAATATGTGATTCTAGAAAACAATATTCTTTTACATAAATTGAAAAAAAAACAAATCAAAACCAAAAAACGAGATAGGTATAGGTAATTACTAAAGAAAAAACTATTGTTTAAAAGAAAATTGTTTTCTAGAATTACATATTTTATCTGTTCACCCAAAAATTGTATAATAAATGTAAAAAAATAAATGTTTTAAACCTAAATCAATTAATTTTCTTATTTCATTTTTGTCCGTGATATAATCAACTTAATTTATTTTGTAACCAATAGGTATTATTGTATAATAAGTTAAAAATTAGTCGTTGATATTGTTGGAGTTCTAGTTGCACCTATACGGTCATACGTATGCACCTGGTTTGATTATGAATGTACAAACAATTTACAATTTTAAAATGATCATCACTCACTTTAAAATTAGAATATAAAAAATAATCTATAAGATTCACTAGATAAAATTCTTACTTCTAAATTTGGATAACAAATAATCAACCTTGGTGCCAAGGTAAAATTTTTATTTAAATCATGTGTGATAATTTACTTTTGAATATAATACGTGCCACGGAAGCCACCGCCGAACTAGATGAACCAACTATTCCTAATCCTAAAGTAAGGAAATATTGGGTCCATTCAAAAATAGAAGGTGAAAATAATTTTTCTATCTTTTATGAAAATATTCGAAACTTTTCCTGGAAGTTTTTTGAACATTTTTGTAATAACTTCATTCGATGAGTAGTTAAAAATGTTGTGGCCTCATTTGACAAAGCAACCACACGTTTATATGACGGAGTTAAAACGGTTTGAGATAAGATAAAGCCGTATAGGTACAAAATAATAATATGTACAACTATAGGAATTCGTAATCTATGATTGAGGTGTATCGACAGTACAATTACGTTGTGATTATTGTAATCGACGTCGTTTCGCATAAAACCTTAAGCAATCAATGTTGCTTTATAAATATTTATTTTAATTTTGTCAACGAACCATGACACAATTGCTAAACTTTCTACGTTTGCGTCGTGTGACTTACCATAATCACATTTAACATGAAATGGCGAACGAAACGAACATAAAATATGATTTTTCTTATATATACCGAGCGAATAAGTCCAGTACAAATTGCAATTGCATTGCAGTACAAGCAATCAAAGTACAACAGCACACAAGCAAAAAATTCCAAGCAAATCGAAAACCACAGCAAACAATCCACTGCCAACAGTAACATAGCCACTCAATAGGCAATTTATTGTCGAGCATAATATTGTAATAGGTACTCAATCAATCGAACAAAATGGCACCCGGAACTGGTAAAGCTATGAAAAAGACGTCGCCGGGCAAAGCGCAGAAAAGCGTCGTTGCCAAGCCAAGTGGCGGCAACAGGAAGCGCAAGACCAAGAGGCTCCAAACGTACGGCATCTACATATACAAAGTGCTGAAACAAGTGCACCCCGATACCAGCATCTCGTCAAAGGCCATGAGCATCATGAACAGCTTCGTCAACGACCTTTTCGAGCGCATCGCCAGCGAGGCCAACCGTCTGGCCCAGTACAACAAGCGCAGGACGATCTCCAGCAGAGAGATCCAGACGGCCGTCCGGCTTTTGTTGCCCGGCGAATTGGCCAAGCACGCGGTCAGCGAAGGCACCAAGGCCGTGACCAAGTATACCAGCTCCAAATAACGTATATTTTATTATTATTAACCCTTAATATATTATTGTAATAGTAACATTTATTTACCAAACTACTCAATTTGAAATTAATATTTATAAACGGGCCCTTCTCAGGGCCACAACATTTAACCGATGCATAATAATAAGCGAGTCGGGTAGCAAGTTGGTGATAATTTTTAACCGAGTGCAGCCAAGTTTGATGGAAAACATTTTAAAAAGTTTTAAAGTTATAAAAGTTAACCTAATTTTTTTCTTACTCGGTTATATGAACTCTTTCAATTAACTTATTAACTCAAGTTAACTTATTATTATTATTTTTTCGATATCTATATGAATACCTAATAATATGGTTTAAAATAATAAAATCATAAATATTATTTAACACAGGAAATATCCAATAGCTCTTCTATACATATAATTAGGGATCAAAATTTCCGAAAAAAAAACCCGGGTTAGGTTAGGTTAAAGCCGGGTTTCTTCCCGTTTTTTTCGGAAAAATTGAGAAAAATGGGTTTCATTTAAAATTTCCTGAAAAAATGGTTTTTTTTTTCCAAAGAACTAAAAAAATATTGTATAGTGGAAACAATCTAATAAATAATGATAGTTGGTAATCATATTACATACATATTATGTATACCATACCTAACTTAAAGTCTGTAGGTACTGTCTGCAGTGAATAAATCTAGAGGAATCTATACTTGGTTTATAAATAATTATAATTTGTAATATTAACTACTCAAGTACTAACTGGTAACTACTAAGTATTTACTATGTAGTTATTTCTTATAAGTTATTACTTATTAATATTATTTTATATATTTATAATATTTCATATTTAATACATTTTATTACCAACTCACTAAGTTTAAAAATATAAGAACTATCAAATAGTTCTAGTCATCACTCGCCACTCACCAATCACTGTAATATAATTTATAAATATATCAGCCAGTTACTGCTGTAAAACCTTATTAGTTATTACATAAATTATATAAATAGACAATAAGTATACAATTTTTAACATTTAGAAATACAGATGATTTATTTTCAGGGAAATACACTCTCTCACATAAATATCAATTTGATATGAAACTACGTTATTTTTAGAACAAATTTTGAAATATCCCTATGAATTTTTTTTTTAATACAATAGTAGGTACATTGATAACCGTATTGGCAAATGTGAAATGACAATGACAGGTTTCCTAATCTATTTTTTTAAATGTTTTTTTTTTACATAGATTATTTTAATTTTTAAGCTTATATGCAATTTTTAATTTTCCAAAAATTCGGTTTTTTACGAAATATTTTCCGGCATTTTGATCCCTACATATAATTAAATTATTAGGTGCTGAATTAACAGAATTATGTAGTAGGTACCAAAAGCATACGAAATTAAAAATGCCGAAATAAATACAATCTTTTGATTTATAAATAAATAAATAACTTATTTATGGCGAAAATATTTTAGAATAATATTATGTAAACATATTATGTTCTTGAAAATTTTACATTTGTGATTTGTATCTATATCAATATAATAAGATAATATTATCATATTATTATGTCTTATTAGTATTTATTAATTAATAATTATTATTATTACAATATGCCCTTATGCCGCAGTATGGCTATTGCTATAATATGTATTTGCTATTTAATTAAGTTATTTTTCTTGAATAATTCTGGTTAATGGAACTAGAAATTAATTTAACTATATTTCTAATTTCCTATTCTAGTAAATGGTTATGATTATATAACAACATATACAACATATACAACATCAATAATCATTTTTATTTTTATTATATTTATTATTTAGTTATTTTTAAATTAACTTGAATTTGATTAAAAGTAACTCGTTATATTTTATTAAGTTTATATCAATTAAAATAAATTAAGTTAAAAATGGTTCAAGTGTGCTGACCAATGAGGTGTCTATTCATTTCGAGTTCTGGAATTACTGTAGTACCGACTGACGGTAGGTACATAGTGAAAATATTATATCGTAGTTATACGCCATGTATATTTCGTTATATTCGACCAATTTGCTCATCACAAAACGTTTAGCTACATACTTAAGATTTTGTTGTTGTTTAGAACATTTAATTTTCTTTTGTTCATATCTAATGTATATTGTATAATAACATTTACTAGTACTTTTGCTCATCGGGCGAATATGAAATTGAATAATACATAAAATATCTGCATCTAAATTTTAGTGATTCAAATTATTAATTTGTGTATAACTTTGAAAAGATTTAGTTATAAAATAATAATATTTATTAAAGTGACCAGATTTATATAAAAGTAACAGAATAATATAACCAATAATACTAACCTTATAATAATTATAATGATAAATTATCATTTATTACTCGTATTTAGATCCAACGGAGACAATACAAATTGTATGGTATTTTTGTACCTATTTGGTCGTTGATAGCGTTCATTTTAAAAGTCTACAAACACCCCGATTTTGAATGAGCCCCGTTCGGCTAGGTTTGGACCAAATTTTATACGGATTTCACCAGCTGGTCAGAAAACTCTCAATGACTTAAGGACCTAATAGATTGTATGCTTATGAAATCGTTTTCCTCGTAAAATGGCATCGACATGCATGTACCATAAATCACGAGGATTTGCTGAGACTGCTACTTATATTTTGCAAACAACAGTTTCTTGAGTCAAACCTAATGAACCGTAACGTTTAGAATAGTATGAAGATTCGAAAAAGTTGAGTATTGATCAATAAAAGCATTTTTGAGATTAGAAAATAACAAAAAACCCGAGGACAGCCACAAACAAGTGAACAGACTAGTTTGTAATTTGTTTACTAGTCGGTACGGTGCTATCATTATATAACAGTGTTTTTGCTGGTTGGAGGCCATCAACGTGTTCTCATTTGCTCTTTAGTTCATCAATCATTTTCGTCGTCAACGTATTACAAAATATACAACGAACAATCATGGCTTCAATGGAAACAGTCGAAACCACGACGGTTGCTCCGGTCGCTTCACCTCCGCCGAAGGAAGAGACCAAGACTCTTGCCGCCAAGTCGACGACCGCACCGGCTCATCCGTCTACAGCTGTAATGGTGATCGCGGCTGTTACTGAACTGAAAGAGAAGAAAGGTTCATCGCTGTCAGCCATCAAGAAATACATGTCCAACAACTACAAGGTGGACTCCACTAGGCTCGCACCGTTCATCCGCAAGTTCTTGAAGGCCGCCGTGATCAACGGATCACTGTTGCAGACCAAAGGTGTAGGTGCCATGGGCCGTTTCAAACTTCCAGTCGTAGTAAAAAAGAAGAAGGAGCCGGCCGTCGCCAAGAAACCGAGTGCCACTGCTACCAAGAAGAAGGCCGTCGCCAAGAAACCGAGTTCCACTGCTACGAAGAAGAAGGCCGTCGCAGCTAAGAAACCAGCCAAAGTCTCGGCTGTCGGAACTCCGAAAAAGAGGAAGTTGCCCGCAAAGAAGGCGGCTGCTTCTACTGCCGGCGAGCCCACTGCCAAGAAGTCAAAAGCGGTTGCTGCCAAGCCAAAGAAATCGCTAGTTAAGGCGAAGAAGGCGGTTGTTGCACCTAAACCACCAAAAGTTAAGAAAACAACGGCTGTAAAACAAACGAAGTTACCCGAGAAAAAGTAATGCAAAAGTGTATATTATGACGAAAATGTGGATATTAAATAACAATTAATGCTCTGAACCATTTAAAAAGGTCCTTATCAGGACCACGAATTTTAAATCAATGGGTCATTTTTAGGCTATAGCATATAGGTTTTATGGCTGGTCTGGCGTGGTGACTGGAAACAATTTTTCGTTACGAACTGTCGGAGGCTATGTTGTACGTATACTTTTGCAAGTGCATTTAAGGCCCGGTGTGACACACAGCGTAGCCCACAGAGTTTTCTGTCGAATTTAAAATGCATTGGTTTACCTATATCGGAGCAGTATACACGACGGGCGTAATTAGGGTTGCCAGCTTTCAAATTGTGTAATGTACGACAATTATTTTCATTCACATTTTATACCATAGGTAGTCGCATAGTTTCAGTGGCGTATCCAGAATTTTGAAAGGGGACGGGGAGAACTAGAGTCTGGATAACCAAAAATAAAAACACCAGCACTATGGCAGTTTATACTGGTTATATGTATAAGCAATACGGTAAATGGTGAGGGAGGGGTATGGTGTATGGCCGTAAGGCTTCACCAGTTCACCACTATATTATAGTAGTTAAATAAACGTCACACGATACTGTAACATGTAATCAACAGAATATAATATAATACAAACTAATTGCAATACTTCTTACATGTAAAGAACGTAATAACTGGCAAAATAACATTAAAAAATAAATAAAAAGTGTAATGCTTTTGTTGTTATAATTAAAAAAAAAAAAAAAAATAATAAAATGAAATCATGAATCTATTGGTGCTTTTGGAGAACAGAAATGAACTTCTGTTCATCAGCCGGGATGGTCTGTAACCTAGAAAATGATTCTAAAAATGCAATTTTTAGTAGGTAATAATATAATACTTGTTAAAAAAACGATTTTAATAAATTAGTCTTTACCATACATAAGTAACAGCGAATAATACTGTAAATCTATAAATCTTCTTTTGGTTTGGCCAAGGTTTAATCTAAACATGGATAAATACAATATATAGAGCACTCAAACTGCCTCAAAACATAATTTGATGGCTTCTCTCGTTGCTGCACTGAGGGTCAATGTCCCAACTTTCATGAGAATATAACTTTTATCATTTACTGCTTTTCGCTTACAAGCAGTCGTCACTTTTTGCCTATTGATATTAGAACATGGCCCATTGCATATGTGATCTATAGTACAAGTAATTAATACGTAACTAATTAGTTTTAAAATATCGAAGAAAAAGTAAATTTAAAATAAACACATTTTTTAACCTACCTGTTATACTGATTAACTGATCAACATAAATAGTTGCGGTACAAGTTTATTATAATATTATGTAGGTATTTCTACGTTTAAAATCAATTATCTCTTTATGATATCTTAAATATTAAATGATTTATTGACATAAGTATCATAGATTTGGCGGAAATGAAAATCGATCCTTTTTCGTTTTGGCGGAAACGATTATTGGCGGAAACAAAAATCGGGACTTTTGGCTTTGCTTTGCTTTACTTTGGGGGGATGGCTAAGCCGTGAAAAACTATACCATGCTTTTGCCTCTACTAGTGGATGGATGTTTAGGAAGGTGGTTTTAAATTTGTTAGTCAGCCCATGTCAAAGGGTAGGGTTTGATTCTACACTTTGTGGATGGTGGGGTGTGAGATTTCCCTAAGAGTCGGATGTGGGCAAGAGTAGAGAAAGAGTTTTTGTAGAACATCGATTTAGATTGGCTATGAATAGAATTTTTGATTGAATTGAAATTTGCTGATTTTAGAAGGACCGAATTTTTAACGATAGTGGGCATCCAGTGTTGCCAGGTCAAATATTGTATTATCACCAGATACTCCTTCCAAAAATCACCAGTTATCACCATCCATATGATAGGGAAAAATCACCAGATAACCAACAAAATCGTTCTAAAATCACCATTTTTTTTTTTTTCATATTATATGTATACAAAGATATTTACAAAGTTTTTATCAAGCGGGGGAAATGATATTATAAATTTATAACCATGGCGAAAGATGACCACTCTCGTCTCTCATCACTTCATCAGGACGTGTATGGTGTATTTTTTCTGTGGTACCTATCACCTCGTAGAACAATGATAACATTGGTCATATTTAGCATAGTAGGTACTAGGTATATTATTTAGGGATGGTGTAAATTGTGGTATAATTTAAAAAAAAAATCAAGGCTAAAAAACGATAAAATATATAAAAAACCATTAATGGGCTAAAATCACCAGATTTTACATAATTTTCAAAAGTTTTTCACCAGTCACCAGGTTGTATCAAAAATCACCATATCTGGTGATAAATCACCAGACCTGGCAACACTGGGGCATACCCGTTATCGTGCGAATGCCGATGTTTTGGACAGATTCGATACGTCAAGAAGGATTTCTGAACTCTTGTTTGAAGTTGATTGTAGACAGTTTGAAGGTTTGAAATGGACTGACTAGATTGGTCCGCATGATTCGTTTTGACAGATGAACATCACACCGTTGTTTCGCTATTTCCCTTTACCAGGTGTGGTTTTTATCTGTCAATCTGTTTTGTTTTACCTAATCGTTTATAGTTGTTGGTGCTTGCTTGCTTTGCTTTGTATAGACCACGGTTATCTACACAGGTTGGCGCACGGTACTACTACGTACTACTACTACTACGGTACACACGTAACTAAAGCGCTAGTAGTCACAAGGCCTAACTGGTTACCGGCTGGACGAGTTCACTCGTGATGAAATAATTCTAATCGTGATTATAAATTATAATTTTTTAATCACTATATTTGAAAGCTGAGTACTTAATTAGTATCTAATGTAATTTAATTACATAAAAAAATAATTCCCCCAACACTTGACTTATACTTCGAAAAACTCTCTAAATGGCTGACATCAGCAAATAATAATTAACGACTACAAGTCTTTCTTACCCAGTTATAATTTATTTTATTTATAAAATATCTGTAAAATAAAATATCAAATAAACATAATATGTTATTATTACTTTGTTCATTACTTATTCTTTATGTAATAAAACCTATTTAGTAGTTGGTTAATACTTAATAACTAATTTTACACCTAACTAATTTACAGTTTATAATAATTTTATTTTTGTTTTTTCATCCCAGTAAAGATTCTTGTAGCCTGAAAACCAAAAAAAAAAAAAATAATGAAAAAAAGGTAATATATTTGTTAATTCAGCTTTGGATGATGCATTATGATCACTGTCCAATGATTTACTGATATTCAACTCACCAACAGATGCTAAATACATAAATAAAGGAATACATATACTATAATATACCAACTTACATAATTTATATTTATTTCAACTTATGAACTAAATTTAAAGCTATATTAAAACATAACTTTACATTTTATCTTTAGATAATTTAATTTTACTTAATTTTAATATTTCTTAAATACTACTGAATATTGAATATAATAACTAACTAATTGTTATAAAATTAACTAATTTTTTTGTACCTTTTCTGTGTTGCTTTTGTAGCCTGAAGTACATCCAACTATACAACACTTAGCCACCATCGCAATAAAACTACCTACTACCAATTAAGTAATGACAAAAAGACATACAGTCATACAGATTACAGAACAATATTGTCGAAATTAGAAAATTATTTTGTTCGTCTTTTTCGTGCAGTTATCATGTTATCTCCAGGTTAGGTGTCGGTTGTGTTCTTATCACCTTTTCACGGTCTACAATAATTGTGTAATGTTTTTAATTCGTATTTTTAGTCGTTTGGACGATATTAACGATTTGAATAAAAAATCTTCGATTTCCCAGTACATACAAATGTAAACGTAGGCCCACTGACTACTAGCGCTAATAGTTCACTACGGTCACCGCATAGACCACACGTCTGCATTAGCATCATAGTGGCGTGCGCCAACCTGTGTAGATAACCGTGGTATAGACCTACTCTGTTTCAAGCTTTTCCGCTTCTTCCAGAGAGTATGAAGTGTTATTGTAGATTATTTATTGGAGTTTTTTTTTTTTTTTTTTTTAAAATTATTGGTTCTTGAATCGTTCTTTATGGCTTTTTCTGTTTACTATTTCGTTAATGTGTTCAAGGTTTGAGTGTGCTATTTTTTGTTTTATTTTAGTTCTCTCGCTTTTTATAGTGTCCTCTATTGATGGCATGTTCAATGACATTCTTATTGCATGGTTGGATATGAACCAGTCGCTGCCCGTTACCATCCTCAGTGTTTTTGACTGGAACGCCTCCAGCTTAGTCCAGCTTGTTTTTGTTATATTTTGTGCCCACGCGGGGGTGGCATAAAGTAATGTTTGTTGGTCTTGAAAAAAACCTTTTGAGTCCTTTCTGTTAGTTTTTTTGGGTGGTCTTAATTGTCGTTTCGGCCTAATTCTTTTTTATGGTTATGATTTGAGAAGGTGTTTCGATAGAATAGGCGTTTTGAGTTTTCCGTGACTACTTCACGTAAGGTTTTTAGTCTGGCAGAGTCTCGAACGTTTTGGTTGGATACGAAATTCATGAGGCCAGCGCTGGTCCGTATGCAACTGGTCTGAACTGAATCAATGAGATTCCAGTTTGAGAGCGAGATGCAAGAGCCCCAGGCCTCGGCGGCGTATGCTAGGAGAGGTCTGATATAGTTGAGATCAGTTGTAGAGTGGTAGAGTGTTCAGGTCTGAAGGCAAATTGTTCTGGGCGGATTTTGTCTCGAAGATTGGTTTGAAGGTGAGAGAGGATGATTCGTTCGTAAATTTTTGATATGGAAGAGAGTAGAGCATTAGGTCGGTAGTTTTCGGGAAGTTTGTGATCTTTACCCGGCTTGGGGATGGAAATTATTACTGCTTTTTTCCAAGCACGTGGAAAGTAGCAAATTCTGAGGGAGCAATTTATAATTTGTGTTAAGGAAAGTAGAATGTTATTCGGTAGAAATTTAAGAGCAGTGTTGGTGATGAGATCGTCACCAGGGGCTTTCTTTTTGCGGAGGTTGCTTATGATTTTTTGGATTGTGCCAGGAGTGGTGAATAAATTAGATTTGGTGATATTTATGTTTCGAAGTGAGTTGGAGTGGGCTCAACACAAATGATTTTACAGCCAAAATCGACTCAAATGGCTCCGTCCGCCTACAGATGAAATGCCCTACTTACTTCAGGAAAATCCAATCCGCGCTAAGAACCAATGGAATTGCGTTTACCTCTTTTTCTCTCCCTGAAGATCGCACCCTAAAAGTGGTGATTAGAGGAATACCTACCGACATAGCTGAAGACGAAATCACCGCTGAACTTGAACTCCGAGGGTTCACGGTTCATACGGTAAAACGATTCGGTGCAAACTCCCGTCCACTCCCTATGTGTTTAGTCATCCTGGCGAAAACTACGCAATCCACGACTATATACGAAATTACATCAATGTTTTATCTCTCAGTTAGGGTAGAGTCATTTAAAAAATCGGGTCCAGCGCAATGCTTTCTTTGCCAACGTTTTGGCCAAGGCTCTAAAAACTGCGGCCAAGCGCCACGCTGTGTCAAATGCAGCGGTAATCATTTGGCCAAAGAATGTACCAAACCTAAACAAGATTCGCCATCCTGTTGCAACTGTGGAGGTAGTCACACGGCCAACTTCCTCGGTTGCCCATACTACCTTCATCTGGCGGCGTCATCGAAACCTGCTGTAACTATACCACCTCCGCCTTCTCAATCCACTTCAGCCTCTTTCGCTCAACCGAAATCTGACACTAGTTACGCTGATGCCGTTAAATCAGACAAAAACCCAATTTCCAACGAAACAAAAACCAATCAAATCAATATCGATGAAATAATTACTCTGCTGACTGACCTACTCACCGCCCTTACATCGGATAGCGACCACAAATCTATCATGGTCTCAACAATCAAGTCATTCCTCTCCCTACTCACTAGTCGTAATGGATAATGATCTAAAAATTATTCATTGGAACTGTAACGGCATATCAAACAAAATCCTAGAACTTCAATTGCTAATTCAAAAAATCAGGGTCGACATTATTTTACTTGTAGAAACCAAACTAAACCCAAATACCAATATCAAATTTAATAACTTCCACATCTATAGATCGGATAACGAAGCGTGCCCCGGTAATCCTTCTTACGGGGGAACTGCCGTTCTCGTTCACAAACGCATAATTCACCGCCAAACTATTTTAAAAACATCAATGAAATCTACGTCAATTGTAAACCAACACATCATTCGAATATCTTCAGTCTACAAACGTCCTGGCGTTCCATTCGTGTGACGAACCTTCGTGTGCTGTTAAACGGCTGCGATTGGTTCATAGTTGCGGGCGACTCAAACGCGAAACACCCGCTTTGGCACAGCCGCTTCATAAACACAGCCGGTCTAGCACTTTACAACTACGTCCAAAACATGGACCTTACAGTCGTAGCTCCCGACTCGCCTACTTTCTTCTCGTCAATACCAAATCACCGCCCGGACGTACTCGACATCGCCCTGGTCAAAATTCCACACCTATCAATAACATCTACATCATTAAATGAATTATCATCTGACCATAATCCAGTTCTTCTGCAAATCAATGACTCTCCAATAACTTCTTCACCTCCAACCCCCGTAAACAGAATAAACTGGAAAAAGTTTAGTGACACTCTAGAAACTATCTCCAGGGGTATACTACCACCAATCAAAACTCGTGATGACATCAACCTTGCAGTAGCCACCCTCACGTCAAATGCTCAAGAAGCACTAGAAAACTCAAAATATGCAATCAACAATAAATTATTTTATCGGGTTTTCAGGTTTGCCACCTGAAATCATCAATGAAATAAATGCGAAAAATCGTCTACGGCGTGAATGGCAAAGGTACCGCGACCCGGCCACAAAACAACAACTTAACCATAAAACTGCCTTCATAAAGCTAATGCTTGCCACTCATAAGCAGGACGAGTGGGATAAGTTTCTCTTCTCGTTGGACACATCTGATGGGTCCATCTATAAACTAAACAAAAACCTTCTTAATAAGCGTCCAGCAACTCACCCGCTTATGGGACCAAACGGCCTAACTTACTCGGCTATTGATCGTGCAGAACTATTTGCTGATACGTACCAGCAACAGTTCACGCCAAATCGTGGCCCAGTCCTCCCCGAAGTAATTAGCAGCCTAATATCTATCAATGACGCACAAGTCAGTAGTAATGACTATACAACCCCTGGGTTCATCAAAGACATCATAAACCATCTACGGAAACGGAAAGCCCCGGGTGTAGATCAAATCACGAACAACGCTCTAAAAAACGCACCGAATAATTTTATTCTTAGGCTAACGCATATTTACAACAGTTGTATTCGTCTTTGCTTCTTCCCGGACGACTGGAAAAAAGGTCAAATCATAACCATACCTAAACCGGGGAAAGACCACGCTGACCCCGTCAGCTATCGTCCTATCACGCTCCTACCTACTATTGCCAAAATTTTCGAAATAATCATTCTCAGTAAACTGAAGTGCAAAACCGAACACCTGATCAAGGATGAACAGTTTGCTTTCCGTCGTCAACACTCTACCGTTCTTCAACTGATCAAGCTCACGGACCAGCTCTGCAAGAACCGTAATGACAAAAAATATACTCCGGCTATCTTTCTCGACGTGGAAAAGGCCTTCGATAAGGTCTGGCACGAAGGTTTACTCCACAAGTTAATCACAATCGGTACTCCAATTCACATAGTTAAACTTATCAAATCGTTCTTATACGGCAGATATTTCAACGTTCGAGTCGAAAATTCCGTCTCCAGCAACCGTCTAATCAGAGCAGGTGTGCCACAAGGGTCCTGCCTGTCACCGTACCTATACCTTATTTACACCAACGACATACCTGTTAACGTAAACAGCAGTCTCGCATTATTCGCCGACGACACCATGTTTTATACCTCAAATCGAAACCCTAAATACGCAATTGCTGCACTTCAAAAACAAATTGACCTGGCCTTAACGTGGTTCAAAAACTGGAGGCTAGGCATCAATACAAGCAAGACAGTAGCTATTCTGTTCAACAAAAACACCACGTTCAACTTGAGTAATATTACCATGGCAGGAGTACCCATCTCGTGGACTAACCATGCCAAGTACCTCGGAGTCAGTTTTGACAGATATCTAACCTTCAATAAACACGGTAAAAATACTCTTGTCAAAGCGCGTAGATGCAAAAACATGCTTAACCCCATCCTAAACAGCCGAAGCCCAGTGCCGCTCAAAACTAAAATACAAATCTACCTCATGTATATCAGACCTCTCCTAACATACGCCGCCGAGGCCTGGGGCCCTTGCATCTCTCTCTCAAATTGGAAACTAATTGACTCAGTTCAGACCAGCTGCATACGGACCAGCGCTGGCCTCATGAAATTCGTATCTAACCAAAACGTTCGAGACTCTGCCAGACTAAAAACCCTACGTGAAGTAGTCACGGAAAACTCAAAACGCCTATTCAATCGAAACACCTTCTCAAATCATAGCCATATAAAATAATTAGGCCGTGACGAAGCCGAAACGACAATTAAGACCACTCCAAAAATACGACCATTCGATTGGTCACATACATAAAAATCAAAATCGTTATCTAATAATCTACTTAACATTTCCATCAACTCTTAATAGGCATCCGCCTGAAAAGAGTACATAGGCCAATCAATGGTCGTTCTACATGCAATGCAATGCAATGGAGTGGGCAGAAACTTCTGGAAGGTCGGGACCAGGGTTTGGTTGGAATTGGAGTTCGAGAGAGTTAGCTATCAACTCGGCTCGATCGATGGCCGGAAAAACTAGACCGTTGGGGCCGGTAAGAGGGTGGGATGCAGGACGTTTGTGGAGGAGACATTTGTTTAATTTGTATATGGAACCGTCCTGATGGTCAAGAGAATTAAGGAAAATTTCCCACTGGTCAGTTTTGTGAGTCTGAATGCAGGTCGACACCGGTTTTATACCGTAAAGTGTGGTCTCGTCGCTAGTCGGCGTCTTCGGACGATGTTGGTAGCCGTGGAGCGGCGTGTCGTCGGTCTGCAAGTCGGCCCAGGTCTCTACCGTGGAGCGGTAGTTTCGTACGTGGTAGCCGGTAGGCAATCGGACGATGTTTGAAGCCGAGGAGCGGCGTATCGTCGTCGGGCAGCGGTCTGTAGTGAGGTACTGTGGTCCGGGTCCTCTTAATCTGTCTGAACTCTTGTTTGAAGTTGATTGTAGACAGTTTGAAGGTTTGAAATGGACTGACTAGATTGGTCCGCGTGATTCGTTTTGACAGATGAACATCACACCGTTGTTCTGCTATTTCCCTTTACCAGGTGTGGTTTTTATCTGTCAATCTGTTTTTTTTTTTACCTAATCGTTTTTGTTTTTTGTTTTTGAATAAAACTTTTTAGTCATTTCTGTTAGTTTATTCCGTTAGTAGGTATCACGGTTATCTAGATAACCGTGGTAGGTATACTGACTAACCTTGTGTTTCAATTTTTAGTTTGAATTAAATTTGAATTTGAAACTTAAAATAAAGTATTAAAATACCAAATATGGTGTACAATAGACCGTTGTCAACAGTTGTACGAACTTCAAACACACAAATTAGATGATACAAGATAATCGGTAATTCCATTTTGCCGACTGAAAATCAAATATTGTAACTGTCCCCTCCCTCCTAAGGACCACCTTCGGTTCGTCCCTGAATACATTAATATTATTAAACGGAACAATTGCAGTTTAGCTACCACGAGATTTTTTCAATTTTTTTTTTCGAAACCTAGGTAAATCAACGTTTTAAAAATGATGGTGCCAAAAAAAAATTGCGCAAACTCTTAGTTTTTGAGTTATAACTGTTAGAAATTCAAAAACTCCCAAATTTTGAATTTTTTTTTGTGGTAGACTTATGTATTTTGACTATTTAAAAACGATGGTGCAATCAGAATTTGTCGATCGAATTTAGTTTGAAAGTTATAGCGGTTTTAAGTTATGAAAGTTAAAAGTTGCAGTGATTACGAGTGTATTGGCACTCGTCGCTACGCTCCTCGGCGCCGTCGCTCCGCTCCGCAAATCGAAAATATCCCCCGATTTGTTGTGTAAAACCACCTCAGGTGAACCTCGGAATTAAACAAAGTTGTTTTTTGCCAATTACAGAAACATTTATATTTACGATATTTGGATTCAGAGAAATTATATATCTGAAAAATATAACCGGAGCAGGTAAGGCGCAACTACCTCACTTGGCGACTTGGTTCAACAAAAAAAATTTTTCTTTAAAAATCCAAAATTTTTAACTTAAAACCGCTATAACTTTCAAACTCAATTCGATCGACAAATTCTGAATGCACCATCGTTTTTAAATAGTCAAAAATCAAAATACATAAGTCTACCACAAAAAAAATTCAAAATTCAAAATGCAATATTTGGGAATTTTTGAATTTCTAACAGTTATAACTCAAAAACTAAGAGTTTGCGCAATTTTTTTTTGGCACCATCATTTTTAAAACGTTGATTTACCTAGGTTTCGAAAAAAAAATTTGAAAAAATCTCGTGGTAGCTAAACTGCAATTATACCAAAAACACACATCCTTGTAAAATCAAGGATACAATATTGCGCGATTTGGGTTTAGTGATTTAAAATTCCGGGGGACCAAACGTTCGTATGGGCTGACCTTTTGGACAGGGACGAAAAAAGGGACTATTCGTACACAAGTGTTTAAATCATAGACCGTAATATCCTATGTTTAAGTATCTCACCATGGTTTAAAATTTAAATACGTTTTACTAAAATATTTTACATGACCGGAACAAAGTACCATACCTATATTGGTATTTTACTATTTTACTATTTTGAATATTATTAATTCTATTCGATCAAATTGACTTTGGAATAACTATTTTATGGAACAAAAAGCGCTGATCCATTTTTATCTGTGATTACATTATCTTAATATATTACATTATATTCATTATCACTTGGTCTCCCACCGTTTTTTGTTTTTGCCCCGTGAACTTGTGAACCAAATAAAGAAATACCACAGAACAATACCACACAATACCAACAGATTATGCAGGCTGTGCCAAGAGTTTATTGATATTCTTAGCACGTGCCGACTGCTGAAATACACCAAAGTATGTTACATTATACGATTGTCGTTAGTAGTATATTTTGAATACACCTACCTACTTAATTTTAAATTGTTCGCAATGAAAGTGATAAATGATAAATCGTAATGCATCAATACAAAATTTAAATTGCCAGTGTTTTTTTTCATGGTTTTTCACATTGCTTGACGATAATTGCTTATTATAACTTTTTACAATTATTTTTAATTAATTCTCATCTGTTCGGTCTTTTTTCTCACCATTATTAGATTTGAAATGTCGCTCCAGATTAACTTACGTAAATACACCGAGTAAGTGCAATTATAGGTATTAAAAGACTGTACAATTTCAACTACTAACGTGGATGAAAAAATCAAGGAAAAATAACAAAATTTTTCGTTCCTTTCTAGTTCCAATAATTTACACAGATATGTAAATAATTGAAATTAAGATATATTTTTTCTAATGTGTATAATGCATCTAGCCAATTATTGATTGTTATGGAGTATATAAGTTTATCGTTGCTTATTAGTCAATTTGTTAAGAGGACGCCACACCCGCATGTGTTGTCTCCGTCTTACAAACTCGTAACATATCAAATTTTACACTCTGCAGATCACGTTTATCTCCGTTAGTTTAAAAGTTAGAGTGAATTGACCTCTTATTAAATATAAAGGTAAGATTATTATTCAGGGCATCTCATAGGCATTTTATTATATTTTAATTTTAAAACGAATATCGTGTATTTTAAGATGTACAAACAATTTACAATTTTAAAATAGTAATAATTCGCTCTAAAATTAAAATATAATAAAAAGGATATGATATGCTCTCGATAATAATCTTACCTTTAAATTTAATAGGAGGTAAATTTACTCTAACTGTTAAACTAAGGGAGATAAACGTGATCTGCGGAGCCTACAATTTGTTATGTTACGCACTTGTAAGACGGAGACAACGAATGTGAGTGTAGCGTCCTCTTAATATTTATCATACGTTATAAGTTATAATTTATATAGAAATGAGTAGATACCTACCTATATAAAATATAATTATTGATAACAATAAACGATAAGACATTCGACATGTGTCGGCCAACAATTTAATTTTGAAGATAATCTCAAAACAGAATTATAAAATATGTATTTACCTACTTGTAGTTAAAAATTATTAAAGAAGAATGCATATGAAAAAAAAAAACATTAATGATTAAATAAGAATTTTTATTTTATTCAGAACTAAAAAAGGAACTCGTTCATTTTCCAAAAGAATGAATTTTTTTTTTTTTGTAAGGAATGGAACGAAACGTATTTCTTTTTAAAAGGAACTTGCCGAACACTGGATATACCATAAACCAACATCATTTATATATAATATGATATAATAAGATAAGGTTGTCATTGGTTACAGCAGCTTGCTCTTGAAGTAGAGGCTCTGATCCGGTCAGTTTTCCGGTGTATGTTTTGCTATTCAGATGTTTCAGCAGATCTTCTGAATCCTGTCTGACAGTAGCAGCGCATATCTTGTTGATCTTCAAATTTGATTGTTTAGGTATTATTTTAAATAATTTCTAGTAGGTACTTAAAGTTTGTTGACAGATGAGGCATCCAAAGACGGTTTGGTTATGTGTAACATTCAAAAATCATATTATGATTAAATGAAAAAAACCCATAATGATACATTTTTTATTGTCTGGAGCCAATGGCAACCCGGCGTTAGTACCAAAGATGTTTTTTTTTCAAAAATGTATTTGTAACCAATGGCAACTATATAAAATGCCAATATGTAGTATATCTGCTAATCATAAATTAATACCTATAATATGTAACCAATTTTAACCCTAAAAATAATTAAATACAAATATTTGATTTGCTACCCTCTAGCTACCTATAGGTGTTGAAAAGATAGGTACACCTATAAACACCTCCAAGTCACCAGGAAACTATTGATATAACTTTATTGAAACCGGTAAAGTAGTAATTAAGTCATTAGCTAATAGACAAATATTCATTTTTTATATAGGTAAACGAGATATTATTTTTTTTAAATATTAAAATAAGTAAATAACATTATTCCAACTGTAATTGAGCAGATTCAATTTAAAACTATATTCTAATACTTGTATAATTATTATAGTTTGCTATATGATGATAATGGATCAAAAAATAATTGGAATTCAACACCAGTATATGGACCTTATGAAAAACTATACCTTAGTGATTGGGGTCAATCTAATATACATCATGAGATTGTGCAGGTAGTCAATACATTTACCTTTTTTCCTAAGCTTCATTATAGCCTTACTTTATTTTTATTTCTTGCAAGAAATAATATGTATGTATATTTTAATGTAATTAATTTTTCAATTGGTTATGTGTTTAATCAAGTTAAAAGGTTATTTATTTTAAAAACTATAATTTAATATACATAGTATACTATATTTTAATTTATTTATTTTTAGGCTTTTGATAAAATGAATATAAAACAAATGAAACCCATACAACAGAATTCATTTTTATATTTAATGAATCATTATAATACTGCAATGATTGGCTTTTCAAAGGAAATCTATTACCTACTTAGCAAGTATTTGTTTTCTTCAATTATGAGTAATAGTGATAAAATGGTATGTTATAACAAATTATGAGTTGATTTATGTTAAGAAGAGATAATACGTTAAGCTACTTGTACTTTTGTATTATTATTAAACATAGTTTTTTTCTTAACTTAGTACTAACTTAATTTAAAAAATCTTACCTATTTACAGAAAAGTTTTGTCATTGGACCCAAAGCTATTATACTAAGTAGCTCTTCAGCATCATGTTCTACATTAGAATATTTATCAAATAAACTCTTCTCTTCAACAATAAAAAGGAACAATGTTTTTGTAGCTTATGAATCTAGTCCAGTGCAACACACAATAGTAAGTGAAACACTTGAGAGAATGCCATATTCCTGCTAAAGTGGTATTATACAGGCATTTTTAATAAAATGATGACAAAATGGTATTGTCAGTATCATGGTTGGTTGTGTTTGGATTAGAAAATTATATAAAAAACAGTTTTGCTCAAAAATAACTAAGTTACAGTGAAACTAAATGTATAAACAGTATCGATGAGTTTTTTTGTGAGATACTTTTTTTTATTGACATCATTAATTCGAAAATATTATTTAAGTTTTTAAAGTAATAAAATAATGAATATTAAACCATAATAGGTTGTAGAAAATTTCAACTACACAGCAATTATTTTCTTCTGTATCAAATATAAATAAGTTTTTTAACCTACAATTGTAACTTGAGTGATTTGTTTTTGCGGATAAATGTTTTTTATCTAGGTTTTGCAAACAATTTATGAGTGTGGCGTGCTATTATGACGTATAAAATTATTAAAAAATATTAACTACGTACCAAATTTTGGAGTTGTTAATTTTATCTATTTTCGTTTTTATATTTGTAGGCAGCTTTGTGTAATGGATGTGATATTTTAATTGCTACTCCAACAAGTCTCCAAAATGTACTTACCCAATCAAAAATATTTAATTATTCGAATCTAAGACATTTTGTTTTTGATAATGTAGATCTACTACTGGATAACTATAAAAATCAAGTAATTATATTGTTATCTGAATACAGTTTTTAATAAAAAAAATTTAATTATAAAAAAATTTTCAGATGCCTAATTTTCTTCATATTTTAACAAAACTTAAAGAAAAAGAAGGATGCAATATACAATTGATATCGGCATCAGTCAAATGGAATAATGATGTAGATACATTTTTAAAACCAGTTGTTATAAAATGGCAGTATATTTTTGGATCTCCCCTAGAAGCTGCTCGTTATATGAAAATAAATTTGTATGTTAAACAAGTCAAGGATGATAAACTAGAAAAAATATTAGGTAAAAAAAAAAATTCTTATTAATATTACAAGATGTTAATTATTATTTTATTCTAAAATTTTAGAGTTATTAAAAAATAATATTAAGTACTGTCAGAGTGTTTTGATTACATCTGATGCTGATGAACTAGAAATAATTTCTAGTTATATTCAGCAACATGATTCTAGTATAGAAGTATTGGTGCCAAGTCAAATGAGAATTTCAAATGGTAAATTTATTTATATTAATTAAAGGTAAATTTTAATAGGTTGGGTATTTTAAATTATTTTTACGTTTCCACATGGGGTTTTATTTATGTTTAGTTTATACATTGCAAAAATGGAATGAGCCATTAGAAAAAAAACACCGTTTATTAATTTGTAGTGACAATATGATGATTGATTTTTATGTTGTGGATGCCGATTGTTTAATACATTATGATATTCCCTCCAATAAACAAAATTTTTCAATGAGATTCAATGTTTTACAAAATTCCAGCAATGTTATGATAGTAAGTCCCTTAAATTATTTATTTATTTTTAATTTTATTTTTGTATATCATAAATTAAATATATATTGGAGATCTTAATGGTTTATAGACTCAGAAGCTTATATAGCTGGACATTAATCAATCCATTCTTAAATTTATATGTACCAATCACTTGAAGTTCTTTACCAATTACATTTTCTTTTTTTTGTTTATAGAATAAAGAGCGTAGTACTTATATATTTTTGAGTAACAATACTAAAGATATGTTGCAGTTGCCAAAAGTAGTTGAAGTCATGAAAAGTTTTGGTAATGGTAAAGTGGATCCAATTTTGCAGAAACATGCCAAGGTTTTAAAAATATAAAATGCATCTGAATTATACTTAATACAATAGTATTGATGTAAACAATGAAGAGTACATCACATAAAAGGGTGCTATAGAATGTGGGATATAGAAATAACTAGCTATCAAATATTTTTCATAAATAATTGGAAAATAGATAATTTTTTTTAGCTCAAACATTTTCAAAATATTAATAAAAATAATTTTCAAAGTTATCTAATAGTATTTTCTGTAATTTTTATAACACATGTTAACTCTAAAATAATTGATGACAGGTGTTTGTAAATTTGTTTTTAGTATGTTCCAAGTGTAAGAGACGGACAAATCTTGCTGTGATGTACTTTTGATATGAATAGTCCATCAAAATTAATTACATTTTAAATATTTTTTAGAATTTAACTGACTCTCTAGAAAAAGAAAAGATAAATTGTTTCTTCTGCAGCGAAATACAACAATTTGGTTATTGTTCTACACCCATGTCATGCAAGAGTCGTCACATTTTATTCAAGCAACTTGATGAACCTGGTGTTAATATTCCTAGGTTAGTATTACTCTAAATAGTCTTGTAATAATTAATTTACAATTATCATTAAACATAAATATATTTATTATTTATTAATATTAATTAAATTAAATAATGTACTATAACTATTGTATTTAATACCATATGATAACATTTTTATTTTAGATCTGGAATAGCTATTGTAAAAATTTTAAATGTCTATGATGCATCTCACATGTCTGCTAAACTTTTGAAACTGAATTGTACAAATAATGTTAATGATGAACAACATTGGTCAAATGTAGTGGACTATACTGATACCATTAATCATAAGCTCAGTTCATACTTTTCAAAAAGGGATTCTGAGTAAATTTTAATGAGCTTATATGACGTAAACAAAAGAAAACGTTAATATATTTTAAAATCTTTTTAGAGTTCTTCATGAAAACCCTAAACCTGGAGATATGGTTGCTGTACAGGTGGAATCTAGTTCTATAAAAATGATTGACACTGCATATTTCAGAGCTCTTGTTATTAATGTAGTAGACAATAATACAGCAAACTCTAAAGTGATGGTTAAACTAATTGATGAAGGATATATTGAAACAGTATCGGTATAATAAATAACATTTATTAATAATTAATCATTCCTGATGTTAAAATTTTTGATATGCGTTTAGAAATGGAAAGTGTTTGTGTTACCTGATATGTTAAAAAGTGTACATACTACTACTGTGGATATGTTTGTGGCATCCATAAAACCAATTGGCTTTGACAAAACATGGCCTACCCAAGCTAACCATTGTCTTATAAAACATTTGAAAGATGTTAATATTTGCAATAATACAATTATTGTAAAGGTATGATATTTAGTACTTATTTATCATATGATTTTATGTGTTCAAATATTAATTTTTCCAGGTTGAAATGGTTCTAGGAACTACTATATGGATTAAAAAAATGTATGAAAAATATTGGGATACAGATTTAAAGAAATATGGCCTTAGGGAAATTTTACCTGAGATTTTGTTGAATACTGGCTATGCAGACATGAATTTTGAACACATTGGCAATTTAACAGAACTTAGTGTTTCAGCTGGTATTGCCAAGCCATTACTATTAAAAAATAGTTTTGAGGATAAAAGTAATTTTAATAAATTATATTATTGTTCGTAATTTGTTTTAACCAGTTCCCGTTTTATTTTAGGAGAACTAAGCATAGAAGAGTATATGTCACTTTATAAACTGCCTCAACCCCAATGGGCTCATCTGGATCAAAGTAGCAATTTAGTTTCTGTAGAGTATATTATTAGTCCTAAAATGTTTTTTGTCAAAAATACCAAGCACTATGATAGGTAAATTATTATATTTGTTTATATATATTATACAAATATTACATTTCTAGATTCTGGGTGTTTGGTAAAAGCTTGATTGTCATTGTTATCAAATGATTTGGTTTTTATTTCCCTTAGAAAATATTTTAAGATTTAGTTACTAATTTTATTGTTCTTCTTAAACATTGATTTTCAGTTTTTTTAAAGTGTTAATCCTCAAATTAGATATTCAGATTTAGATTCTGAACAATGAATGTATTGGTCTTGCAATGATGTTTTTTTTTATGAGTTGTCATTTTTTCAAGTTTGAGATAAATTTCTAGTATTGACTATTGAATATAATATGTACACTGGGCGTGTCAAAAGGTGATTCCCATTGCTTTTTAATTAATTGGGGATAAAAAAAATTAGGCAACAAAATGTTAATTGTTTTACTCAGACCCAGTTTTTGACAGGATCAAAACGTGTAAGTCAAGTCACTAACAGCTAGTAATGTTTATAAAATAATATTATAATATATATGAGAATTATTTTTTGAAAAAGTTCAACTAATAGTACTATTAAGGGGTATCAATACCCGATCGTTTCTAAGGAGTTCAACATAGGCAAATTTCTAATTGTGTGCATGTGGGTCGTCTAAATGTGTGCGTAGTAAATGATTATTAGTGTGAGTGACTGTGTATAAAATAAATAACTGAGCTGAACGTGCACGCACGTGTCAGTTAAGCAGCAATTTACACAATAAGTAATTACAAATGTGATTTTTAGTGTAATACTGAAACTTAGTTTTGTATTTCCAATAATATAGATTAATGAGTGACATTACAGTATGAACACCTATTATACAAATTGAAGAGAAGAAGTTTATCTAGGCTTGTAGAGAGGAGTCTATTTCCAATATTTTATTTTAAATGTCCAATATTTAGATCTAAAACTTGTAACATTTTACTTTTTGAATTTGAATTATTAAGTTTAGTAATTAAAATATTGAAAATTGACTTTTATACAGGCATAGATTAACTTCTCTACAGTGTTGATAATGAGGGACAGAGTGGCCGAGCGGTCTAAAGCGTCGGTTGCGATCCCAGTCAACGCCGGCTTGATTCCTCGGTCATGGGCGGCATTTTTCTTCTGGCAAGTCACGGTGTCCGGAGAACAAGTGCCGCCATCCCGCACCCGGGCATGGTAGATACCTACAGGTGCCCAGTCAAAATTTCTGCCAAACCCAACACACACGTGCCCCCCCTACCGACATTAAAACGTACAAAACCAATACAGCTAAAGGCCATAGATGCCGGGCTTAAGATCAAATAAAAAAAAATATTTATAACAAGTGTATTTACTCTCAAGCCGCTCAATAAACCATACTATTGGAAATTCAAAAATGTATTTTCATAGAATTTTTCAATGCTATTCATGCCCCTTGATAGCAATATAAATAATATATAATGGAATACCCTTAGAGACATAGGCTTGAAAAGGATTAAAAAAAAATTCTTTAATATTATTGTTATGTACCATTAAAAATATTAATTTAAGAAACTTTGAAGTACCTAAGCAAATTCATATTAGTGTGGTAATTGCACTCTACATACTTGATTTTTATAAAAAATTAAAAATTTACCTATCTATAAATATTAAATATTAATATGCAATATTTAAATATAATATATGTTTTAGACTTAACAATCTTCAACTAATGATTGATAAATATATTGAAGAAAAACAGTTAAACAAATTAAATGATGTTATTAATGGAGCAATTTGTTTAGCTAAATATCCACATACTAATAAGTAAGAATTTTTTAATGGTATATATATTATATTGCTATTTAAACAACTTCATGGTATAGGTATAACCGCGTTAAAATTATTGAAAAATTTGATAATGGAGATGTTGAAGTTTTGTTTGTGGACATAGGTGAATTTATTTATATTAAATTTCACTTATTACTTACAATACATCCAGATTTAATCACTTACTTACCATTCCAAGTAAATATAAATATTTTAGTTACATACCGGGTGATTTCATTTAACTTAGAACACTAATTATTCAAAAAGTATTCATGTTTTTGAAAAAATTTTTTCTACATGTTTTATTCTAAAATTATATTTTTTAAGTTTTTTTACTTTTTTGAATAACAACACAGTTTTAATTTTATCTTCGCAAGCAGAATATTTTCTGAGGATTTTGATGCATAACAATCTAGTTAAGGATGAGTAGCTTATGAGGTATAACTTTTAATTATTTGTAGTTTAGATGAGCGGAGTAGTGTCAACCAACATTTTGGGAGTAAAAGTGTACCATTCTATTCCGCTTATCTAAACTTTAAATACTTATAACTCATTAACTATTTGTCCTAAATTCAATTTTTAAGTATCTAAATACTTAGTAAATATTCTGCTTTGGAAAATGAAGTTAGAACTAAGTTGTCATTCAAAAAAGTGAAAAACTCGAAACATTTTGAGGATAGGAAATATTAAAAAATATTAATATATATTTAAAATTTTGTTTTTTAACTACTAAAAACCATGTAAAAAGTTATTTTAAAAACATTTATACTTTTTGAAATAATGTGTGTTCAATGATAAAGGAATCACCCGGGGTATACATAATAATTACATATTTATATTTATTATTATTTTATTTAATTGTTAGGCGATTGAATGCAGTTTAAGCGGCGTTAAAAATACATTACCTACTGGCAACGAGCTGAATGAACTAACTGACTATTTATTTGATATGACTCAAAATCCATTATATTTAAAAGTTAGTAAACCATATATCTAAAAATTTATTTTTAAAACTAATTCTTTACATTTCAGGTTATTAACACTATTTCATCAACAACTTTTACTGGTGGTAGTCACTATGAAGTGATTTTATTTGATGCAGAAATAACTGTTAATTTAGAGTTTCAGACAAAATTCAGTCAATACTGTGATACTCTAGAAATGTCTAAATTGTTAGATTGTATAAATACTGAATATTATAATGAAGACATTTGCGAAGAAGATAATGCCAATATTCCATATGTTATTGATGAAAACAATTTAGAAATTGAAGATGATTTTGCTTCTGAGATACTAACTTCTATTTTTGGAAAAGTAATCAATAATTTATAGAATTTAAAATATCTAATTTTTCTTACAAGTGTGTAACTTAAAAAATGTCAGCTTGAATTTCTGATGTTTTGTTAGTTTTAATATTAGAGTGAATTCACCTATTATAATCCTATTTAAAACATTGTGGTTTGTTGTATGTATATTCCTTTCATATTTAAATTTTGAAGTGAGATAAACATTTTAAAAATTAATATTTTACAAAATATACAAATTTTTTTAAAAGTTCAACCCTAAATATCCCCAAAAAAAACTTCAAAAAACCCATGTAAAATGTTGTTACTTATAGATTTGATACTAAATTCATTCTCATATTGAGACTAAAAAACTAAACTTAGACTGCTAAGTATAACTTTGCCATATTCACTTGAAAGACAGAGGCAACAAATGTGGGTGGAACGTCCTTTTAAAATAAGATAACATATTATAATGATTAGAACATGCAAAAGTATTATGTATACACTTTTTATGATATGATTACCAATTTGAAAATTTTTCAATTTGAAATTATTATAATTTTACCTAATTGTACCTTTGTAAACATAATTTACAAATCGGGAAAACATTAAATAAATTATATTAATAGTCAGTCATTTCACTGCCAATATTTAAAATTAATGAGTATACATTTTTTAGGAATTTGCTAATAATTTTAAATGCATAGACCAAAATATTGAGGATGTTAAAAAAGAAGAGTCTTTATCAATCACAGATGTAAAACCAATAATTGAAAGTGGACCTCTTAAAGATTGCATTACCGTCGAACCAATTAAAACTCAAGAAATAATACCTATTAGTAATGCAGTGATGCTTAAAGATAAGTCTGTGCAAAATAATTTCAAACAGCAACTTAGGGAAAAACGACGAAACATTTGCTTAACATGCAATACTAATATACAATCAATTATTCCTATATGTACTTGGCATCAAGATAGAAATAATATTTATTTAAAACTCAATATCCTTGAAATAGATGATTTCAGTGTTGACAGTACATTAGAGAGTATTAAGTTTAAGTAAGATTATTTTGTTATGTGTAGTAAAATTGTGCATTTTTATATTATACTAAATGTATTATTTGCAGATCTCAATTCAAACATTTTGCATACGAGTTTTTCGTTAGACTTTATGGTTTTATTATTGATAAAAGTATAACACATAGACATAATTATGAAGGATTCCAAATCAAAGCTGAAAAATTGTACAAAACAGGTATATATTTTATTATCTATAGATTAGTAGTAGGTTCTTAAACTATGGCTTCTTAAAATGACACAACAAAATCTCTACACGTCACTATAGTGGGTACGGTGTCTGACCGTCTCAGAACGTAACCTGGTCGCCACACGAGACTGATCTCATTTTGGACATAGTTTAGTAAGTAGTCTTATTTACTAGTACACATATCTCTAATTGGTAGGTAGTTCACACTACCAATTTCAGACTACATACTTAGTGTCAGGGTTCACCAAGAAAAAAAGGTTACACTATATTCTGTTCCATCTAAGAGTAGACCGCTTTCACACACGCATACTGAGCCTCCGAACAGTGCCTGACACCCCATGCGATTGTTTTGCATTATGTGATTGGCAGACAGTCATCGGTTGTTGGGCACCTGTGCTAACGCCCTCACCAATGCCCGGGTTGTGGTGGGAATGTGCGGAAAAAATGTGTTTTGGTCAGCCGAGTGGTTCACTCTTAGATAGAACAGAGAATAGAACTCTATATTATATTATAGAGTACACGGAGTACCAAACCATGCTGTAAAAACAAATTTTATGACAAGCTTAACCTTGACAAAATTACTTTATATAGAGTTGAATTAAACTTCTTGGTATTGTATTTAACTTAATCCAACATATCCACCCAAATATTCAGACTTATTATTAGGCTTTGGAATAATATCTTTACTAAATAGTCAGTATTGTTATTATAATTATTTTTATAAATAACTATTTTGATGGTTTGAATAGTACCGTTAGAACTTTAATTTAACTCCATTGTTAACCACTCGAGTTTGACAAAACAATTGAGTATGCATCATTACTCATGATTAAATCAAGTCTAAAACTGAAGTGTTGACATTTTTACAGATTACAAATGGCCACAGTTATTTTCATGTAGTAAGCATCATACATATGTGAAATATGATACAAACCACATTGAAATCAAAGACTTAACTATCTGGGAAAAAGGTATTATCATTATTAATTATTTGTGTTATTATAAATGTGATAATTGCATTAGAACAATTTTTATTATTCAACTTATAGGGTGTTTCACCGTACATGTTCACCACCATTTCCCTAATACTCGATGCATAATATTATGTTCACAATCTCAATTTTGGAATTTTAAGCACCTGTAAATTACCTTATTTTGAAATACTAATATTTTGTCAACATTTAAATAGTTTCCTGTTGTATTTCAAACTTCTTTTTTACAAATATGTTTTTGGGCTGGATAGACATTTCTCTGAACAATTTCTCGTTATATTTGCAATCAAATAGCAACAATGATGAAATAATGTTTCAATTTCAACCTTATAATTTTGTGTTACAGTACCTAGATTGCATCTGGTAAATTATGATTAATAATATAAATACTTTACCATAGAAACCTCATTATTAATAACAATTCATAATTTAAAAAAGATAAATATCGTCATCATCATGCATTAGCCACTCCTTAGTGGCTGAAAATATCTAAATATAAAAAAATATGGTTCTTAAGTATACAAAAATTTTTAAAAATCTGAGTTTGGACAAATGTATTATTAATGGACAAAATCATCTTGGATAGTTATTATCAATTTTGTTAAAATTTTTTTTTACAGCCATGAACAAGTTTAAATTGTCAGCCAAAGGTACTCCTCTGAACTCAATAAATGATGAATATTCCAGTAGTGAAGGCGAAGATGAAGATGAAGAGCACAGAGATTTTGATGATTCTATTGATGATTACTAATACATAGTTGTATATGTACACTTATATATTTAGTTTTAATATTTTATTCTTTCTTCTTTGAAAATTTTCAAGTTATTTTAGTAATGTACCTCAGTGAGAAGTAACCAGTACCATGTATACCTTATTATTTAAATTTTTTTATTAAATAAATTCACTAATATTATTTATCATTTTTTGTTTTTGTATATTTATAAGTTATAGCTATTAATAGCCTTGTTTCCCAAAAATAGTTTGTTTTCTGAGTTGCAGTAATTTTCAATAATTACTAAGATAAGCTATTTGTTACTTAAAGGAAACAATTGCAAGTGACCCTTTCATATAGGTGGGACTCCCTTAAATCCATAAATATGATTCTATTTAGTTGATTCCTGAAAAAATAATTTATATAATTATCCACCTCAACATTCTTTGCCTAACCATGCCAAAACATTTCCATTCTTAAATTTATAGACAAAAATATTTTATTATCATACTATATAAAATTACATGACATATGAACAATATTAACATTAACTTAATATCGGTTGTAAAATGTTGGTATGTGGTAATCAGAACTAAAGCTGATTATTTAATTTAGATAAACATAGTGTCGCTATCTGAAATAGAATTCTTAATTGAAGCCATTTTTAGTGTATCGGTAAGTGTAACTGATGATTCAGTGTCAATGGATCCAACAGAATCTATATTAGCCACAAAATTTTGATTATCCAGATTTCCTTCCATAATATTTCTAAGTGCAAATAAGCTCCATTCTCGCATCACTGAAATAAAATTTTAATGATTCACTAATAGTAACGAATAATTTGTATTTGCTAATAGTAATGTATAATTGGTTTTTGTAAATTATTGTAACACAAAATTGACTGTCTATCACTTAGTTTAACCTATAGAATTTGTTTTGTTGCTCAATTTATCATTGAACAAAAAATGTATAAAATAAAACCACCATCAATTTCCTAATATTGAGCTTAAGGGTTATGGTGCCGGTAGTTTATTAAGGAGTAAAATTTAGACAATTAATTCACATGTTGTATCGGTCTTGCGTGGAACGTGCATGTGTGTGAGTATGTAAATTGATATTAGTATGAGTGAGCTATAATTACACGCGCAGATAAAGATATTTAAGCATGCACATACACAAGTCAGTGATTAACTTTGATGATTATTATCAAGCACTATTTGGATGAACAAAAATGCTTTTACATGAAAAACTCTCACTCCTCGTTGATATATTGGATTTTGGTCATTTTTTTTTTTTACCTGAAAGATGAGAAGTTTTTGCAGGTCGGATCAAAGCTCAAATTTTTATTTTACATTAAATAGTACAGTAGAAAAATAAGTTTGAAAAAAAACAAATATTGTGCATTATTCAAATGCATATTCCAGCTTCTATAATTATAATTTTCAAAATCGGGCTTTGATCCAACCTACAAAATGTTCTCTGCTTTTAAATGAGAAAAAAAAATGAAAGAAATCCAACCATTCTACAGGGCGTGAACGTTTTTCCTGTACGACATGTTTTTGTACCAAAAAGGCACCGGCTATTACCCCCTTAACAATATAATATGAGACTTACATGGATTTTTAGCATCAAATGAGCAACACTCTAACAGTATGGGAATAATATTGTCAGTACGCATCTGTAAAAGTATGTATTACAATTATGTACCTTTGTATTTATATGTTAAGGTTATTACGACTCAAGCTACAAAATGATGTACTTACTAGGTTTTGATGTTCTTGGTGGTTATAACACATATTAGCTATCAATCTTATTAGATCTGATTTGAACCAAAATCTATTATGTGTTTGTATTTCTGAATCAAACAGAGCAGATAGATCCTTCACACGACTAAATTCATTGTTTGAACCATCATTATCCTTGGCAAGCTTATGTACGAATACCAACAAATCTAAAACACGATGTTTGTTATTTATCAATCATAATATAATCCATGTTTCATCATAATACCCATAATTTTTTTTAATAGAGTAGTGTGTTTTTTGATTTCAGAATTGAATTTTTCTATATTTGAAGCCTTAGCGAGAACATTCACTACATGACTTGTTATTTTTTCTACGGCACAATTGATAAAAAAATTGTTTTTTATTACAACAATGACTTCTAAAGACACTTCCTCGTGATAATAATCAAGCCAAATGGAGATAATGTCCATTAAATGATCTTTAGAAGTATCAGGAAGATTTGTATAGACTAATAAAAAGTCTTTTGAATTGGAGAAGATTGAATCTAAAAATATTTTACTAAAAAAAAAAAATGTTTTAATTTATTAAATATTATAATCAATCTATATAATATAATTATAAATTTCTGCCTGGGTCAATAGGAAAGAAGTTTCATTTTGAAAAATTTTAAATCATTAGATGTTTTTCGTACTATGAAATCAATGGTATTATATCACCTATATTCAATTTCATCTTGAGTCCAATGAGTCATTATCTGTTGAACTATATTAACATCTTTTAAGATATTCTCTCTGAAGTTGACATCACACAAACACAGGTTATACAGTAGCATCATCGAATTGTTCAATAGTTTGGAATCCCCAGAAGATACAATAAAATGTCTAAAAAACAATAATACAAATATTTATATACTCAATGTGAATGATATATGAATAAATAATGTATTGCCTGATGTGTTTGAGGAATTTTGAAGAGATGAGTCATCACATATATTGACTACTAATTATGATATGCAGTTGTAAATAGACCAATGTACCTTAATATGCCGCAGAAACCTCCAAATATCTGGCGTTGAGCGCTCTCATGGCCCACAGAGAAGTTGGCCAAAAACTGTAGCAATACACTGCGGCTCAACGGCTCATTGACAAAAAAAGTGTCACAGTACCATAAACAGGTTTCAATCAGTTCTGAATCTAACAGTTGGCATTTGCCGGCATCGTCAAGCCGGGGTGAGTTGTTCCGAAGCCAACGGAAAGCGTCTGTTGCGTTTTTCATGTCATCAGCGTCCGATCGGCCAGACAGTTTTCTGGTTTTCAGGTCCATTATACGGCACACAAACTCTTGAACATTGTTATTCGGTTGGCCTGCAGTTGACACCATATTGTTTGCCTTTGGAGTCACAAACGAAAAGAATTAAAAATTATAATTGGGTACCTACTATTGAAGTGAAGTTATTAAGGAGCCGCCACACCAACATTTATTTTCCTCTCTATCTCACGCATAATATAGGAACATAGATATTCTTTATTTCCACGATTACGGTTCTCTGGTTCATTTTAAGGCAAATTCACCTATTTTATATTTGATAAAGAAGAATAATTTCTGTGCTTTGGCCTGATAGTTCTTTAATATTTTCATTATTGAATGAGTTATTAATGGTTAAAAATAATCGAAATTAAGTTAAATTAAAACACGTTTATATTTATAAATAATGAAAATATTAAAAAACTATCCGGCCAAAGCACAGAAAATATTCTTCACTATAAAGTGTTTAATAGGTGCATTTGACCTAAACTGAACCAGAAAGCCGTAATTATGGAAATACAGAATATCTATGTTCCTATATTATGCGCGAGATAGACAAATGTTGGTGTGGCAGCCCCTTTAACTCGGAAAGTAATGGCGATTAAGAGGATTGCAAACGGTCAGTTACTTCAATCAAAATGTACCAATATTTTATCAACCATACCGATGGACATCATAAAGTGATTAGACTTCTGAAAACTGATTTAAATTCGTTAATATGTCTAATTGAGATTGATCAGATCACTGAATTGTAGTAGTGTTTCGCCCATGCGTATAAACATAAAATTGCAAACTTTGGAAGGCTGTAACTTCCAAAATAATCATTTCCGCAAATTAATTTTTACACCATCGTTTTAAACTCTTCAAAATACATAGGTAGGTTTCCGAAAAAAAATCGGGTGGGCGCTAACCTAGACTTATGCCCTAAACTCCTATACATTTTGTTTGAATATAAAAAATTTTTTGAAATTTTAAATTAAAATTAAATACTCATCTTAAAATGTGGCTTGATCAATCTCAAGTAGTTATATTAACAAATTCAAATTAGTTTTCAGAAGTCTTATCGCGTTGTCTTGGTAGGATTGACAAAAAGTACATAGGTACAATGTACAAATTAACATAAATTGTTTAATGTCGACAGCCACACACACTATTGATCACTTACAAAGCACACATTTAGATAAGTACCGCATGCATGCAATTTGAAAATTGTGTACTTTCAAATTAAATTCTCAATACTTTGAACTCCTTAAAAACGGTTTATTTGCAATCCTCTTAATATAACATTGTTCGACAATAACACGAAGCCGGCTGGACACCAAGGCCTAAGATGATATAATATTAAATTTATTGCTTAAATCACAATGTTGATGGTTGACTACTGAGTGGAAAATACAAAACCATTTTGTACTCTATTCACAGATATCTATATTATATAATATAGATATATTATAGATATACCTATTATATAATATTGATATCTGCGACTCTATTCAAATTTAAATGATTTCAAGTGTGCAATTTCCATGCGCATTTACCTGTCGTAAATTCAAATAGATTAGTGTGTTTGGCTTGTCATTTTGAGTAAAATATTATAAACATTAAATTACTTCGATTCCGTGTGAGTGTGCAACGGTAAGTCGGTTGTCACTTGTCAGTAGTTGTCAGCAATACAATTTTGAAATATTTTAACGTTTGTTTGTGTGGGTAATTCCGTATTCCAGATTTTTTATAGACAACGATGAACAAAAATAGTATAATAATTATTAAATATATTTTATTATTTTCTGTACAAAACTTTTTCCGTGATAACTGTTAAAAAAACGATTCACGATGATATTATTATCAACACGGACATTTCGCGTTATCAATCTGCCAAGCTACCAGCATCCAACAGGTCTGAACTGGTCGCGACAAGTTAGGACTTAGGTATCAAAGAATAATATCATGTATGAAATAAAATAAAATACAATACATTATTTGATCATTAATATTAAACGGTTGTATAATATTAATTGTATTATTATTCACCTTACACCTGAGATAATAATATTATAGTGTCTGGTACTCATAGATAAACATAATATAATACATTCATAAAACAATATGTATTGCCGCCTGTTGGCTGCGGTTCTGTCAATGCCATTGCTAAAATATTATTCGATTTTTTTAAATTATATGCTCAAGTCCTATTATCTATAAATGTATTAAAATAAATAGCATTTCCTACACTTGTGGTAATCTCGCAACTAAACTCACATCGCGGGATCGAGGATATTATTCAGCTGTGCTCCTGTCCTTATTTTATGCAATTTTTTTTTTAATTTTTTTTAATGATATTATTATTTGTGATTAGACGGATTATCAATGTTTTGGTAGTCGTTACTCATTATTAAATTTACTCGGACGCGCACCGCTCAGCCATTCGCTCGGTGGTGTCTCACCTTCACTGTTCACTAATCACTGGTCAATGATTATCACACATAAATATTAAATTCACAATAATATTATATTACCACACAACGTTTAAATTTTACTAGTTTAATAACTTTTGTATGTAATTACCAATTGATATTTACTTGTTCACGTGCTGGATGACACGAATGTCGAATAATCGGATTTGAGAGAAGTCTCAAGCGGACACACACGACGAACTCACTTGCCCGAGCAAGAGTAACCGCCGCCGTTCGTTTTGTCCCGAAAATGTCACGACGCATCTTAGTTACATCGGAAACCCCATTAAATATCGTGGATCCTTATTATTGCCACTCGTTCCCATCCTACTCCAATGAATTTGGTACCGACAAAGACTACCTGAAAATTCGCTTCACCGAAACTATGAATGTAATCGAAAAAATGGATGGGATCGTCGACGCGGATTTTGTAATCAATAGGGTAAGAGGTTTTGATTCCTGTGAAACAGATTTCAGTTGGTATGTGTATCCGTTTAATAACGTCTCATGTTCTGCCCCATTTAGACTTACCCCAGCCCTTTTGATCAGCAATTTACGCTGCTAATGGAGGCCAGCCTGAATGGCCAAATAAAAATTGTTAAGGCGTTGTTTGACAGATTTAATGTTGCGGTGGACAACACAGGAGATGTAGTTCATTTTGGTTCACTCGTCAAAGGGGCTACAGCACTTTGGTGTGCGGCTGGTCAGTATATTATTTTATCCATAAACATTTACATTCTATTATAAAATAGATAAAACTATAATTATTAGAATGGTAATCAAGACCCTTAGTGTTTTCCTTACCAGTTTAAACATACTATGTAAATTTTCTTCCTTACTCGCTAACGCTTAGAAGTTTGTATCATATTTACTGTACTTAAAATTATTGTGTATAGAATATTTGTTTTTATTTTTATAAAATTAATCATATAAAGCTTTTGATGAGTCTAAGAGCCGTTCTTATAATGTCCGCTTTAGATAGTGTATGTTAACTCTAAACGACTGATAACAGATTTTAGTACCTGTAGAATTCGGCCGGTTAAGTGTCGGTTAACTTTAACCGGACATTGTAAGAATGGCCCAAAGTAGAATAGTTAATTAAATAAGTTATATGATCTTCGATCATCTAATTTATTACTTACTCTTATTTATCATGAACTACCTAATTCATAATTTTAAATTTCTAGGAACTGGGTCCATGGAAGTAGTAAAAATTCTTGTTGAGAATGGTGCAAATGTTAACTTTCTTACTGAAACTAAGTCATCTCCATTACGAGCAGCTTGTTATTTAGGACATCTTAATATTGTTGAATATTTGGTTGAACATGGAGCAAATGTTAATTTAACCAATATATATAATAGTACATGTCTTATGATTGCTTCTCATAATAGTAAGTACATAATATAATTTTATTGTTACATTTCAGCACACAAATATATGGAACATATTTTAATATTTCATTTAAATTGTGTTGTTTTCTAAGAAACCATTTTTTAGAAAACTCAGAGCACAAAATAAAATCTCCTTACTAATATAATAGGTATACCTAATTATAACTAAAACATTCCAATTTATTTAATTGGTTCGTATGAGGTCTATTGTCAATTTTGCAATGTTTGAGTGGAACTAAAAGATTAATTTTAATTTTATATTACAATTGCTTTTAAATTATTTTATTCTACTTATCATTATGAACCATTATTTATTTATTTAATTAGTAAAATATTATTTTTATCCTAGATCATAAAGAAGTTGTTGAATATTTGTTGAGAAAGGGAGCTGATATTAATATACAAACTAATTGTGGATCTACTGCCATGCACTTTGCTGCACAAGCTGATAATTTGGAAATTGCTAAACTACTCATCGAATTTAATGCTCAACAACTAAAAAATCGGCAATGTGTGTATATATATATTTTGAATTAAAGATTTAAATTAATTGTCATTTTTTTTCTAGCTCTGACTCCAATTTTGGTGGCAGCTGAAAGAACACATCATGATTTTGTATATTGTCTCATTGATGAGATGAACCAATTAAATTTAACCCGGGAAGAGATGATAGAGGCTGAAGAGTTACTAGGTGCTTCGTTTTTAAATGACAAAGATCATTATGACTTACATCGGGGATATAATATTTTGGTTCGAGCGATGAAAAGGCGGTATTTATTTATTTATGTATTTATGTATAATAAACGGATATTAAACCCTTTAGCAATTAGAATAATTATTAGTTCAGTTCAGCTTATCTTATAAGAGAATTTGGATACAATAAAGAAGTAAAAATTATTAGTACCAATGGTAATAGTTAACAGCTAAATAAAGAATAAATATATATTACAGTAAAAATCATTAATTAACAATAAATGGCTACACACACAAAAGAAAATAAGAATAAAATAATAATAACAATAATAATATTTAAACAAGAGAATTTAAATTTAAAGCCAAATAAACATTTTTTCTGAATAAAAAAACGCTACATAGCAAAAAAAGATCAAAACATGATCCATTATACTGTTAGCCAAAGATAGAGCTCTGGGGAAAAACGAGGTGGAAGTATAATTATTTTTGGAAAGATAAACATGAAAAAAATTAGATTTTCTTAATATGTGAGTTTGTACATTTAAACCAATGAGAGATAATAATTCCGGAGAATAAATAAGACCGTTTAATAAGTCATATAAAAACATAATATCCGCAACATATTTCTCCTTGAATCAAAAGACGCGATCCCCAATTGGGAAATTGCAATTTATATGATTCTCTTGTGATGGGTATATTTAATTTAAAGCATAATAGTTTTAGAAACTTATACCATGAAATTTAGTTTGTACATAATAATATAATTTTATGATACTAACAGTGTTCTATGTATGGCTTAAGAGGATGTTCTATGTATGGCTTAAGAGGACGTAACACTGGCATTTATTGTTTCCATCTTACAAGTGCGTAACATAGCAAATTTGTGCTCAGCAAGATCACGTTTAGCTTTGTTAGTTCTAAGATTAGAGTGAATCAACTTATTATGAAACTTGATGGTAAGAACATTGTCTGTGTTTAATCTTGGGTTTTTTACGATAATTCAGTTTTTAAGTGAGTTATAAGCATTTTTAATTTATATCCTCAAAACTTGCTAACAAAATTAACTGTCATAAAAAACCCACTTTAAAACACGGATAAGGTTCTTTCCACCAAGTTTCATAGTAGGTTGATTTGTTAAATTTTTAGCTAAAGATGCTAAATATGGTATGTTACGTACTTGTAAGACAGTGACAACAAATGCCTGTGCTACATCATCTTAATAGTTCAATGGAGATTTATCTAACTAGTAACTACTCTTGATGGTGTGATTTTAAGTAATACTCAATTATTAGAACAATTAATGCAAAGAGTTTTACATCAAAAAGTATGAGCCAAATCTCAAAAATAAAAAATGTTTGATAACTGGTTTGTTTTATTTTTGATTGTAGGGCTCATTTAAAAGAATACAAATTGTTTATAGTTACATCGGTTATGGTTACATAAACACTGATCTTAAATTTTGTGAAGTATATGTATATGTATAATTGGTTAAATTTTCTTAGTTTTTTAGGGTCCTTGAATATTATTTAAAAAAAAAATTATAATATATATTATTGTAAATATTAAACAAAATAATAAAAACTGTATATCCTTTTAGGTACGAGAAGCATCCAATTATAAACAAAAAAGTTAACAAAACCGTCGAATGTTACAATAACAAAGTAGAATGTCAAACCGTACAAGAATTATTAGATATAAAAGACAATGCTGAAGCTATACATTTTGAATCACTGATAATTAGGTACGTTTAACTTATCGAAAACAATTTAGTATTTATTATTCACATACCATTTTTTTTATTTTCAAAACGGGCCATAGAAGAAACAAGTGCTGAGGTAAATCATCAAGTTGACAGTAGAGTTTGGAAAGAAGCTTGACACAAGTGGCAACACCAATATAAGGCATATTAAGATTAGAGATATCTGTGTGATTGAAATTTTTATTGTGGTTGTTGCCAACATCCCATGCAGGATTGTGACCATTGAGATCCCTAAATTGGATTTGTTATCATCTTAGAACTATGTAATTGTAAGATATTATCTAGAAGTTTGAGTGAGAGTTTAATAAATTAGGAATGTTTTGGACCAAAGTTCAAAGTTTGAGCAGTTTAATATTCATTGTTGATGAGTGCTTTGCTGCCAGTCAAGTTGATTGAGTGTTACTGCTGTTTATAAGGGGATCAATATTAATGTTCATGTAACTTATTTGGATGGACTGGTAGGCTGTGTTAACAACATTACCATAACCATCACACCATTTGGAACTTATGAGGTGGAAATTTGGTATGGATAAATGTTGACAAGTCAAAAGCTACATAATAAGGCACAGGAGCAATTTTACTCAAAAAATAGATGATAGGTCCACAATAATCAGGTGAATACTTCTCACATTCCACTGAAGTATTAAACAATTTGAATAGTTAACTGAAAGAGAAGATTATTATTAAACCATGTTTTTATCAATATTAAGCTATTATTTTCTGTAATATTCAAATTTTCAATGTTTTTTTCATTTTAGTCTTCAGTGAAACAAATAATTTTAGCAACTACATTCATCATTCATATTTGAGTCTCATAAAAAGTAGAGGGCCAAGCATGGTTGACCAAGTCTGCCATTAATTTAACTGTTTGTAATATATTAGTAAGATAATATGATAGTTAAATTATTTACTATATCTCCTATTTCAGCATAATTCAGTAATTAGTTTAATGAGTACTACTCACACGATTGACGCTATCAAATTCCTTTTTTATTAAATATTGAATATATTTAGCTACAGACTATAATAAAGAAAACAGCAATATAACAAACAAATGTAAATAAATAAACAATTATTTAACATATATTTTTTGCTTATGTTTATTATTGTAGAGAACGGATTTTAGGAGAAAACAATCCAGATTTATTACAATCAATCATATACCGTGGTGCTGTATATGCAGATGCACACAATTTTACACCATGTATACTTCTCTGGAATCATGCCTTAAAAATTGCTAATCACAATAAACATAGCGTTCATAGAGATCTTTTACGATTCACACAGGTAACATTTTATATACCTACTTAAGAAATTCTAAAATGTACATAAGACTTTTTTAATAACTTAAAACATAATCTATTTAATATATTACTATCTATTACTTCACAAATTACAATGGTAATCAGAGTATTATTAATAAACTTCTTAATATTTCTTTTACTATGCTCGTTTATTTAAATTTGTATGTTAGTATTTTATTTTTATTTTTATGACTTCAAAGTTGAATATAAGAATGATATAACATTTTCACTACATTTACAAAAAATTATTTTGAGACAAAGACTAAAAGTTTATATTCAGATGTACTCATTTGCATTATAAATAATAAATATGATTCATTAAAATTGTTTTTAATTTTAACAAGCTATAGCAGCCAACTTAACCTGCAGCCTACCAAGCTTTCATATGTGGCCCATTTACCCATATGCAGCAACAGTCTTAACGTAATAATAATAACATTTAGTTTTGATAAAACAAATCATAAAATGTTATGTTATTACTTTTATAGAACCACCCTAGGCTCCTCAATTAATATGTTCTACCTCAATGAACTTAAATACAAAAATGATGTATGCGATTCAATAATAAAAAAAAATTATGTATATCTGAGTTACAGTATAATATGTATATTGGATGAAGGCATGTAGGGATACTTGTCTTCGCTCCATTCATTAATGATCAGGATACTGATAGCTTATTTGTTGTAAATTAGAAACTGATGATACCAATTTTAATTTAAAACAATTTGTGTAGTAGATTTATTTGTTTATTCAGCTAAAAAATTACAATTAAATAATTACAATAAATTATATTAATAATAGTTGATAAGAATAGTGAATACCACCTGAGCTATAAGCTTGAATCTGGTGTACACAGTTCATCGACATTACAATTCGTTTTATAGTAAAATACTTATACAAATAAAAATACGATTTAATTATTTAAACATAGCACAGTAGATAGATAATTTAAAAATAAAATTAACATTTGCGTTACATATAGGTTCATATAAGAGACTATGTTTATATTATTTTTTTTATTTTTTTTTGTCTAAAAAAAGTATAAAATGTAAGAAAACAGTTAAAACGAGTGTTATACAGTATACTTTTTATACAACATAATATAATAATAATACAATTATCCATTTTAAATCTATACTTCTTTAATATAACATTAATTAAGAAATACATTTTCAAAACTATAATAATATTTCTTTGGCCTTCTTATTCCATTAGTAATTTAGTGATAATATTGAATATTTTTACAAGAGACCATGCTTAACGTATATAATATTTTCACAGGTGTTTTGTCAAATGATTAAAAATAATATTAAAATCAAATTATCAGATTTAAAGAATATTTTACAATCTGCATGTGATGAATTAATTATTATTAAAAAAAAATTATCTGAAGTCGATTGTTCAGCTGAAAAGGAATTATCAAAGGTATGATATTAATAAATAACAAATATTAACTACATTTACATTTAGGTACTTTATGTATTATCCAGGCTATCTAGTTAGATCGAGAATTTACCGGACTACCGTATACCATAGAATTTACTTGTACAATCTATATATATAAAAATGAATGTATGTCAGTGTGTGTGTGTGTGTCCATATTACCATGGCAACCATATATATATATATATATTATTTTGAATTTTCCGATGGAATGTTTTGTATATAAATGGTTGCCATGGTGAATGGTGATATGTAAAACATATTATTCATATAAAGTTGGCAATTTTAACGGGAAATGATGTGCACGGGATCAGATATTTTTATATATATAGATAGATTAGACATCTGTGCAGAAGATATGTTAATTTAAAAAGGGAGAGGACCAACCCCGGGATCAGGTGCTCAAACAAAGATTTTGAGATTTCCGATGGAAATTTTTGTTTATAAATGGTTGCCGTTGGTTTCAAAGCTATAATAATAATAATTATTGGTTACCATTGGTTTAAAATTGCTGTTATGGTAACAGTTATATTATAAAAAAAAACATATATTATTCATATAGAGTTGGCATTTTTAATGGGCAACGAAGTGCACGGGATCAGCTAGTAGGTAATAAAATTTTGATTATTATTGTGTATTTTTACATTACGTATTTACATCATTCAACATAAACGTATCTTAAAAGAAAAAAAGAAATATTACCTTATTTCAGATTGGGTAAACAAGTGCATCTTAATATTTTCTATTATTTTATTAATAAAATTAATAAATAAAAAATATAAAAAAAAATAATGAAAGTCAAAATAGTATGTAGGAATGTATACACCTAATATAGTAGTCCTTTAAGTTATTGATCAATGTAGGTAGTCGGGATAATATGAAAGTATCCATTTATATTTCTAATTAAAAATAATGCTGAATACTTATAGTCACTATATTGAGTTATGTATCCTTAAATAATAGACAAATAAAATTGAAATTAAGAATGTAAAATTATCTTTTTCTACAGAATGAATACTATTCAAACATGAAGTCGACACTTGGTTTGATTATTATAACCAGTATCGCATTATTACAAAATAATAATAATGAAGATCCCTTGGTAGGTGATTTGATGAAAGTTATAGTGGAAATAAATAAACTTGAACTTAAAACAAATAAAGGCCAAACATTGCTTCATTTATGTCTTAATTATGATACAAATGTTGACAATATTTTCACAACAGGAATTTGCTGGTAATATTATTTTATATAAGTAAATACTAAATAAAATAACTGAAAAAAATGAATTTGAATTTACCTATTTATTTACACTTACTCCTGTAATTCAGATTTTACTTAAATTCTTTAATCTAAAGGCCTAATTTTGTATGTGCATTAATATTTTCTATGTTGAGTTTACAGTATAAAAGCAACTTATTTGTTTGTATTTTTCATTGCAGCTTTCCAAACTTTCTTGCAATGAAATTATTAGTTCATTGCGGAGCAAACGTAGATGCAGTTGACAATGATAAAAATACAGCCCTCCATTACATTGGTAAATTCATAACAGATTTGTAAGTGTTTGTATTATTATTTTGTTAACATTTATTTTAAGATTAAAAATTGTGTTATTTATTTTACAATAATTATATTTCAAGTCCTCACATACCACACGACAGTGATTACTTAGACACAAGAAAAATGGTCATGGAGTTGTTGAATGCTGGTGCTCATACAGATTTTGTAAACAAATTGGGGGTTTGTCCTCATACAGGATATCTGTCGAGTAATTATTTTATTCTATTTAACTTTATTTTATTCTGAATATTTACTTTCTGTTTTAGAGTTATTTCATTTAACAAACAATATGCCAAGGAGTTTGAAATGTTTATCTGCCAGTGTGCTCAAGTACCGATGTCCAAAAAAATATTACCGCAATCAATTGCCAAAAACATTAGTACAATTTACTAATTTACATTAAGTGATTGATAGTTAGTAAAATATCCAGACAATAAAAATAGTACCTTCTTTATGACATATAAAAGTAAATAATAAAGTCGTCATTTTATGCAGGTCAGCTGTAGGCAGATCAATGAATGCTTACAGTAGAATATTGAAGAGACTTCAACATAATTCATTTTTATTATGATTTATCTATCCTACATGTATATATTTTTATTTTTTATAAACTTTTTATTTCTTAATATTTTTATGAAAACAAATATGTACAATGTTGATTTCTTATGAATATTAAAAACTGCATGACATAATTTACCGATTTCCATAAAAATAAATTGTGTATAATGTATAGGTAATAGGTATGGTTATATTTTAACCTTGTAACTATATATACATATTACGTACAATTAATAGAAACCTTGGAAAAACATTGTCAACCAAAATTCGTTAAATAGTTTAAATTTATATTCTCTAATTGTTTACATATTTGTATAAAGGGAGATTGTCCTAACATCTCCATTGACTTAATATTGCCAACAACAAGAATAAAATTTCATTCATATTTATCTACCTTATGCTTTTATTTATTTAAAGTGAATTCTTATAATATGAAAGAATTATTGATTAGTGTCTAGTGATTACTTATATATCTTAATATATAATTTAAAATTTATGCATTTCAATAAATTTATTGCATTTGTCAATATGCCTATACGGGTTGATATATACAGGGTGTTCCAAATTTCATGTGACAGCAGATTTCAGCATGATCTACTCAAATTAGGAAAAAATGACCTATGTGAAAACTTATTTGAATCACATACTCAAAACTAATTTGATATTAATTTTTTTTTTTTATTAGTTAAAAGGGGGAGATTTTAGGGGTAACTTTTAAAATCCAAATGGGAATCTATATTTTTGAAATATGATTCCTACAGGATTTTTTTTTTAATGAATTTTGACGTATCATTCATAATTATTGGTTGATAATTAAAGAAGCTATTTACATTCAAATTTTGTATTTAATTTGTAAAAATGCCATCAATGATCAATGAATAAAAATAATAATATACTTTGTGCTTCTGTTTTACGCCGATGCATTGTTGTACCTACAACCTTTATAATCTGTACGCTATCAAACTACCAATTTACTAGTAATAAAACGTGTATTTGTTATCTTAATTTAATTTTATATTACATAGGTCAAGCCACATGATTCTATTGATAGTAAAAAAAAAAAAACAATGCATTAGATAATAATATACCGTCTACATATTATGTATATTGGATATTGTTTTATTTATAATCAATGCTATATTGCTATGGAACGGGTTTTGTGTCCTCAATAATTTTACATAATATTTATTATTTATAATATAAAATTAGAAATAAATATCATTCAGTTGACAAATAGGCAATAGCTAATTATACCAAATTGTTGTATAAATGTTATTATACTGCATAAAATTATTTAAAATGTATACAAATAGGTTAGGTACCTGTATCTGTATTTTTGACTAATGTAGGTGCCTATTCATATTTTATAAATTTAAATAATAAATAATAACCAAGGCTAGGAACTTAAAAATATGCAGTAAAAATTTGGAAAATATGCAATTTATTGAATAAAACACATTTTACATACAAAATTAAAAAATTTAAATTAGGTAGGTGTCTGAAAAAAAATTAGAAGAATTTTAAAAAAAAATTAACACCGCACGCTTATGTATTTAATTACCTACGATTATACAATTTATTTATATCATGGTACAAAATATTAATCCAGTGGTAAATTTGAATAAAAATAAATACGGTCCGGTCAGCGATCACTATTTCAAGTTCTCAGTAATAGATATAAAGATTATAATATTATTTTTGGGAGCAATAGTAATAGCCGTTGATGAATTAATTTATTTTGTCAAACATTATAAAAGTATAAATTTCTAAAAAAAAAATTGTTCACGTTAATTCTATGATATCATATGCATATAATTAATGATCTTATACCTAAAATATGCGAATTTGTACAAAAAATCACGAAATATTCAAAATTATGCAACAAACATTTTTGTATTTGTAATATACTTACTATGAATCAAATTTGTATCGAATCAGATTTTCAATATGCACTTTCTAAACAAATTGAAATATGCAAATGCTTAAAGTTCCGAGCCTTGGTAAGACTAATAACATACTTACATACCTATACTTTCATATTATGTTTGAATAAACTTAATATTAAATATGTATATCATTTCTAAACGCTGCAAAATGACAACATTGATTTCAAAAACTTGTATATGATTAAACCTCGCGTTCAACATAATGTTGAATGATGCATATAAAATCAAACAGATTTTGAAAGATCATCACCTTTTCACAACATTAAGATATGATCAATCTAATATTAAATTATAATAACTAGGGCTTGGATGTTGTTACATTAATTTTATTAAAATTAATAATTCATTTACTAAAGACTAAAGGTTATGGCTAGACTTAGAGACTTAAAAGCTTTAAACACAAACATATACGCATAAAAATATGAGCAAATATGTATACTCTAGAAGTCTAGAACAAGACAATTTTGACTGAATTTATTAAAAATTGATTTTATTATTATTAATGTATTATCAATTTTTCCTTTTTTTTTTTAAATAATTGTACCTATTGCTCCAATGGCTTAAGCAAAAAAAAAAAAAAACGATAGGCCCATAGGAGGGTTTAACATCTGTAGCATGGATCATCACATGGAAGTCACACAATATTTACACAACGTTGGTAAAATATGTATATCACATTTGTGTAAGCAATTTAATTTTTAAACTAAATTTTTATGAATTTTTTTTTTGCTCTAATAAGTAGAAACCTTATATCCTTATTAATTAATTATAACAACATCAAAGTCCTAATCATGACATCAAACATAATTATCAAGTATTTTAAATATGTCAATTGCACCAGTAAAAATTATCGTAATATATTCTGAGTGGTTAATAAGGTTAGGTTTTACTGGTTTTAGACCGGGATTGAATATTTTTTTAGAAGCATTTTCATTCTGGATTTAGGGCAATTTTAAAACTTTTAACTTAATTTTAATAAATAAATATAGATTTGAAATGTGTACAATTTTCATAAGAAAGGATATAAAGACTAATAATTGTTGAACCATTTAGTACATTTTAGTATATTCAAATTAGCAAGGAATATGCAAGATATGCATGGTAAAATACATTTTAAAGCAAATTCATTATTTCTGAAAGACTATCCATTTTAAAACTTAATTTAGTATTAATAAATGTGAATACATTTGAACTGTGTACAATTTTGATATGTAAGGATCAATATTCACTAATAAAATGATACATTATTGTTGTTATTTAGTAAATTTTATTATACTACAATGATTGAGCTATTAAGTTATGTATGATAAACTAAATTTGAAAGCAAATTCATTATTCGTTAATATCCAATATAGGTAGGTATCTATAGAAATATAGAATTTATGAAAGTCAGCAGTTTAATAAATGCCTAATAAAAACATACTTCACAATTTAAACTTAGTGAACATTGTTCGTACAAGAGGTGCAATCGAATAATAAATTATATGTATATATGCTACGGCACATACCACTCTATGTGCAGGTATACTCTATATAGGTGATCCTGGAGATCGTATCCAGCCTATCCATTTACAACGTTTGTGACGGATTGCTAGACACTCAAACTTTTAACATTCCCGCCAAAGCGTCTAGCCTTATCTCCAATCCATATCACTAATCCTTATCAGTTATCACAAATCCTAAACTTTCGTCTTACAACCTTTGCGACTTTTATAATTCATTGTCTCCAAAATCGGTACCCACTCTCAGCGATTCCAACGGGCCCCGAGTTATACTTAGAGCTAGTATTGTGATATTTTCTATTAATCCGTTTGACCGTTTCAGTAATCACTATTCACTATTTCACTAATCTGTTAGGAGGTAACAATATTTTTAAAGATTATAGAATCATTATCAGAGTTAAAAAGTGCTTTCTAGTGCTCCATAGCTTAGATATTTGTGTATGTACTTTGATTACTGTGGTCTGCAGGTGGTAGGAAATTAACATTAGGTACTTTTTTATTTTCACTACATGATCCGAAAAGCCATGGCAGTAAGTTTGAACTGATTAACTACAATAATTTTTTTTATAATTACATAGAATTATCATTTTTATAATAATATATTATTATAAACTGTGTCTAAATTAATGTACAATAAAATAAAAATTGAAGGATTATTACTGTAGTATTAATGTATTATATACTTAATTTATAACACTTAAAGCATTTAGTTCATTTATTGTTTAGAGTATAATGGCAGCTAAACCGTGGGAATCTACGCATCGCTTATCTCCGTACATTCGCCCACAGCAGTACTTTATTAATCTGTACCCAAATCTTGAACAAGGTTCATTTGTTGGTTCAGTTGATATAACAATAAAATTGGACACTGCTCAAAGTTACATTAAGCTACATTCAAAAGGATTGAATATCAAAGAAACTAAACTCAATTCTATACTCCGGCCCACGAGAGAGTATTACCGTTTTGCGCATGCAGACTGACGGCGGAGACCGTTCCGAGGCCCCATTTCCCCCACTATTTCCGCGACCGCTATACACCGTATATGATTCCTACAGGATTTTTTTTTTAATGAATTTTGACGTATCATTCATAATTATTGGTTGATAATTAAAGAAGCTATTTACATTCAAATTTTGTATTTAATTTGTAAAAATGCCATCAATGATCAATGAATAAAAATAATAATATACTTTGTGCTTCTGTTTTACGCCGATGCATTGTTGTACCTACAACCTTTATAATCTGTACGCTATCAAACTACCAATTTACTAGTAATAAAACGTGTATTTGTTATCTTAATTTAATTTTATATTACATAGGTCAAGCCACATGATTCTATTGATAGTAAAAAAAAAAAAACAATGCATTAGATAATAATATACCGTCTACATATTAT